CATCCATCCGACGTGACTACAAAATTCGATCTGTCGTATTTCGGTGCTTGCAAGATGGGTCTTGCCACTAGTGCTGCCTTTAAGTCTAGGAATGCTGTTGTATGTGCCTCTGTCTAGCATTTATCGAGCTTGAAGTCTCGTAAGGTGCATTGATAAGTGTTCTTCAAGTACGGTATCTTAAGCGGTGCTGCTTTTACTAGGTCTCCTAATGGTCCTTCCCATCGGGCTGTACACTTGTATTAGGTCTTGGAAGTGACTTGTCAATCCTAAGAAAGATTCTAAATTAAGCGCTGTCAGCGGGTTGTTTCCAATTAACAATAGCGGTGAGCTTCTCTAAATCTGGTTGAACTCCTTTTGGTCCTACAGTAGCTTCTGCAAACATAGTTTCTGTCATGAATAGGCAACATTTTGTTGGGGATAGTGATAGCTTGCGTTCTCAGCATCTCTGGAAGATCTGTTCTAATTTTTTCAGCATCCTGTCAAACATATTATCTGCGCATCCTCCGTCATCTACGAAGAGCTCCATTGTGCTGCTTGCTAGTAGATTATGTAAGTGGTTAGCCGTCATTTCACAAAACATAGATGGTGCTCCTGTAAGGCCCATTGGCATCCTTTTATACCAGAAATACCCCCTTCCTTCGATGTAAAATGCTGTATATGGCCTCAATTCCTGCGGTATTTCAACAGCGTAGAATCCTGAGGCAAAATCGAACACTGAGATGTACCTATGTCCACTTAGGCGCTGTTGCTTTGCTCTTATATCTCCTTGGGGCATCGGTGCGATCACCATGTGCTTGTTTACCTCATTAAAATTCTGACATATACGCCACTTCTGTGGGGCTGGTGGTGGCCTTGGTGATGCTTCAGTTTTGATATCACATTCTGGTAGTGTGAATGCTGGTGGCTTCCCGTGTTGTTCGCATTGCTCATTAACCCAGTGCTGTAGCTCCTTGAGTGTCAACCCACCTTGCTCATGAGCTTTTTGAGCGAGGACTGTCGTGGCGCAGCACTTGACCGCTTCTGGAGGTGCTTTCTCAATAATTCCTTCCGCTAACATCTCATCGATCTTGCTGTGCAGGAACTGGGTCTGGGGTGGTGTTAATGCTTTTTGATGGACCTGGGTGTGGAACATGGTGTCTTGCGGTATGTGAAGTCGATGTTCTGCTCCTGGAACTGGCAGTACTTCTGATAACGAACACGCAAAGATGTCAGCATATTGGGCAACGAGTTCCTTAACTTTTTCTCATTCCTCGGGACTGAGGTTGTCTCTGATTTGCACCGACTTTATTATGTGCACCACTCTTCTTGGATTTTTGGGGTCCATGGTTCTTGTGAAGGCGTCTGCATCATTGATGAAGTTTGTTGGAGTGGTGTCATACAGGGCTCTGTCGCTGTTGTCTGGTGGTTCCTTTGGTGCATCTTGCTTTGTCGTGGTCTCCTGGACTTCGTTCTGGTTGTTGATGGTTGTTGAGATTCCAGTTTCCTGTTATATGGACTGTGTCAGTTTCGTACTCGTGTATAGCTTTAAATGCCTGCAACATCGGTTTCCCGAGCAAAAACTTCCATCCTCCTCCACTATCGAAGACCTCAAACTCTCCCTTTGCATTGACTCCCACTATCATGACTTTGCCTTTCCACGTTCCTTTTGATGGTACTAGTGTGCCGTTGGCCATTCTTAGTCTCTTCGTTGACGCTTTCCAGTTCCCTAGGCGATGTTTGACGTTGTTGAAGACCATCGTGCACATTGTGCTAACCATTGCACTGTAGAGACTCGCGTTTCTGCAGGCACATATGGGCTCATTGTACGAATTCTGACAACTGGCCTTCATGGCACGACTCGCACTATCATCCACTATGACTTCCCTATAGAGCGCACCACTTTCGCGTGAAACGCGCCATAGGCGCAATACTTTCCCGCACAACGCGCAGTATTCCCGCACGCACACCTTGTGCGCTTTCTCGCGCTTAAGCGCACTGCGTCGCGCATCATGCAGGGGCATCCATCCATTGTCCAACCAGTCCCTTGGTATGTCCCCTTTCATTATCTGACTATATTTGGCATATTACACTTCCTATTTCGTTATGGACCCTTACTTTACATCACTTTACCTCACTTACATACTTAGAGCGCTCCCTATTCGGCTCCGAGCCCTGGGAGAGCGCTTAGGTAGAACTTACATACTCTCATGTTCATTTTACACCCAACTTTACCACCTTAGCTTCCTACCACTCAGTATCTATCACCAGTTAGTTCGATGCAATGCATGTGTCCATCATCATTTTGAGGCCCTAGCATCAGTCTATAGCTAGTGGGCACTATCAGTATCCGTCTAGATCCGCGCTTTTCCTCTTATCAGTCACAGTTCACTTCCCTACACTTGTGCACTACTTGCACTACCTTCGCACACTTCGCTGCACTTTCGCACTTCACTTTCCCCGCGCGCGCCTTCAGCACATTTCACCGCCATTCACCAGGGTTGATTAGCATCATTTCGTGGATCCTTCTTTCCTTGCTTCCCCTTTAGGGTCAAACGTTCTTGCATTCTGCAAGTATAGCAGCTAGGCAGAGCCAAGACTCACTTATACTGGTTGAGCACTTTTCTTATATGTGCTTGCCAGGTTGTGATACCCACAGCACCTTCATCGAAGAGCGCTTTGACTCGCACAATCTCTCCTTTCGGTCCTGCAAACACAATGTAATGCAAGAAGGGTTGGCAGTTTTGGTGTGTTCCTTCCTCATTCATTGAATACAGATCAATAATGTCACATTGTTCGTTAGCGGGCTGCATAACAACATGGTTTCATACAGTGAATGTGTTTGATGGGGAAGGTATGTCGGTCCTTGTGTGTTTCCTCCTTGCACACGAGGACTAGTTGTCCAGATGGATGAGGTGCTGATTGTTCTCAGGTCGTTCGGCTATCCTCTATGCCAATGACCTGTTCCCATTTCCCTACTCTAAAGCCTCTTCCATTACTAGATTGACTTGGGGGGCTGTGGCCCTATTGAACGTGCCGAGAATTCATGTGCAGTTGCTGCGCCATATGCTTTCATTCTTCGGGAGTTGAGCGTCTGTTGGGATAGGGCATCTTGGTCTGATGTATCCATGCACCCCACATCTAAAGCATTCACCAGAGCATATTTGTGCTGTTCCTGGGGTTAGTGGGAATGGTGTTTTCTCTGTGCACCTTGCTCCTTCTCCCCACTTTGCCGTCCACTGCCTTAACTGTTCCCCATATGCCGTATGCCCCGTATCCGTGTCTATGTGGTGTTGTAGCTCATTGACGTAGGTGCGTAGTGCGCCCTTCTCTTCTTGCATGGGAGGTTGTCCTCTAGGGTACTGATTGGTTGTCGATTGGTTAGCTGCCATGTAATGTACTGCTCTTTGCAGCGTCATGGCACTGGGAGGTGTGTTCCCCATGGTCCTTGGAGGCACTGCTGCTTTTGGGGTCAACGTGTTAGATCCAATCGTTGTCTGCTGCATCTGTAGGCATAACACCTCGATAGGATCTTGTCGACTTTCCAACCGCATGATGCATGCATTCTGAGCTCTCTCCATCTCCTTCCTCTCCTTGACTCTCTTTGCTTTCTCTTGTAGGGTATTGATATTGATGTTCTTGATTTTGTTTAGGAAGGCGTCCCAGTCTACAGGCACCACTGATGTTAGGTCTCTAAGGGCTCACAGGAGTGCTTCACCGACTGGTTGGATTAGAATGGGTACATTTTCTACTCCTGTGTCCTTCACAAGCATTTTAGCTTGTTGTAGAACTAGATATGCGCCCATGTTGTGATCCCTGCTACCAGTGACTCGTTCTCCGACTTCTTCTTCCTTGAATCGCAGCTCTAGCAAGTCTTTCTGATACTCCCTCTGTGTCTTCCCTGCGACAACTATCGCCGGCCACTTCGTCAAGAATGCTACTTTGGCTTGCACCCACGTGGCTTTGTGTGCTGCTCCTAGGCCCGTCCACCATACATCTGCGTCTGAGCCTGCTGATATGAACGTGCCCAGCAGCAGGATCATTATCACTTCATCCTGAGATATGGTTGACAGCGATGTACACTTCAAGACTTTGTATGAAGTTAGCTGAGTTTTCGTCGTCGCGTCCATGGAACAAGGGTGGAGAGTTAGCTGACTGTCGTTGACATTGTAACTTTAGTTGTCTGTGTTTGCTTTGGTATGACTGTGGGCTTTATACTAGGCTTTGTTGGCACTACTGGTGGTTGCACTGATGGAACAGCTCGAGTGCTTGGTTCTCTAGGGATAGACGGTGGACATCTGTGTCCCACTGGAAGGCTGGGAGGAGTATGGTGTTTGCTTTTGGTGCGTCAGGTAACGACTCTTCATCATCTTCTCTTAAATCCTCATTAACTTCTTGATCCGAGACTTCACGATTCTCCGGTTCCTCTTCGTCTGGCGTAAGTTGCCGTTTGTTAGTCTCCAGCGTGTCGAGAGGCGACGAAGCAGTTGATGTGAACGTGCTACTGGAGTTTTCGGTGTCCTGAGAGAGGCTTGGGTATGAACTTGCCTCCTGGTCCTCTAGGTGGTAATTCCTTTCTTTTAGGCAGCTTGGCTAAGGAGACTTGTTCGTCGTTAGTATTGTTTCTCGGTTCACGAATAAGAATGCTATGCTTTGTAACGTGTTCTCCTCGTGTTTCTTGACTTTTTTGTACTTGACCAGTTAGGTCGTCTTCTCGTGTATTCCGCGAGGCTTCTGATTTCTGCATCTGGACTCTGGGCTCTAAGGGGAAGACCAAACGCGAAGCTTTGGTCGAGGCGAACTCGCTCTGTTCACCAGTTGGAGTGGGCTATGCCCGAAGACTCTGCTATCGAAGGACAACGAAGACCTGAAGGCCGCTACTGCATGTGGAGGCTCTAACGACTCTCTCCTCGGCTAAACCCGGCTCAAACACTGCCAAACACCGCCAAACTCTCCTCTACTCCCGCCCCCTGCCTGGGGGTCCCCTACTCCAACGTGCCCTAGGTTCTTCAACAACTGCTGCGGACCAATGCGAGAGGAACGTATTGGGATGTGTGTCGGGTCTGGAACTGTGACAAAGACTTGAGTATTGCGACTGATTGGTACGGGCGATAGTATGTACCTCCGTAGCTGATTTCTGGAGGATATCCTAGGAATGGGATGAAGGTGTTTGGGATGCTTTCGTGCATCTTGTTGATGCTGCAAGTATGCGTCAAATAACGACCATGCGCAGACGCAAATGTTACTAGTAGGTCTTGGGTCTTGAGCTTTAAACACTACATTCATTAGTTGCACTACCAAAGAAACTTGAATGGGATGGGACCTATGCAACCCTATAGAGGACGGTCAATATAATATGTCGACATGAACAAAACTGGGTGGGAACAGCGACGCATTTCAGCAGGCGCGCTAAGGCCGGAGATAGATACGTTCTGCATCGTTATCATGGTCTTGACCTGCTTGCGCTTCGTCTCGCGGTAGGACTATACGATGGGGAGGCCAGGAGGTAAGTCCGAACGTTATCCGTCCTTCTCTTGATACGGTTCCTGGACAACGAAGAAGCTTGTCGTTTGTTGGCTCAATGGCCAATGTCATCTTTGTTGGAGGACCATAGTACTGGAACTGGATTGGCGTGAGTGCATATTCTGCTAATCGTGTTTTCTCGCTCTTGTGTTAGATGCAAATGGTCTTGGGTAGTCTCGCCAAACGCATTACGAAGATGAACGCTAAGCCCACATACATCCTAGTAACGCATGCGGCTCGATGGCTTCACTGAGGTCAGACAGGACGTCCCGCTGCTCGAGTTTGGCTTCTTTCAATATGATGGCAAGGTTACTGTGAGAGCAATGTGAGAGAGATTGACAATGAAAACAAAGTAGGTCGTTGACTCAAACAAAACCCTAACCCTAGACTTGGCTCAAAGTTCAGAAATAAGATTTGCAAGGCATTTGTCATGTACACCGAGATGGCGATGCTCACGAACACCCTCGGCGTCAACAATATGCACGTGTTCGTGATGATTACAGGCGCCCAACCAGCTTGCTGTGTACCGCTCCTTATCTCTGTCCGCTCAGGCTCTTCCCAACTCCACTGGCTTTTACTTTGGGTCCAAATTATAGCTGTCACTTCCTCATGTCAAAAGCATCCAGCACTAGCGGCGCCGAGGACCAGGGCGCCCATATAGACGAGCAGCCTGCCCCGGAACAAGATACCCTAGGACTCCCGGAGGATTCAGAGTAAGTTGCGGCTTCCTGGGATCTGTCACCCGCATAACAACAAGATAGGGAGAAGGAAAATGACGGACCTTCAGAGGCGAAGCTACCATCAGAGATGCAAGTGGTTCGGCCCTGATGCTTCTGTGTAACTCACCAGAACTGCAGCTCAAACACTGGGCCTTCCCAGCCATTAGAACCTCGTGAACAGGAAAGTGCTTTCAAAGTTGCAGCGGACGACGATTTAGTTCTGTAAGTCCCTATCAATGGCGTTTTCAAACAAGCTCATGAATTATCTCAGTCAGGCGGAAAAGGTCGTGGCAGAGAAGGACCAGCCAAGTCTCGGCGAATTGTGAGCGAAAAATATACCGAGCGATCGCAGCTACCGATACCTTACACGCAGAACAAATATCATGAAGCAAGTATTGGATGTTCTCCAGGACTCGACGATTGCGTCGAAGAGTGGCAAGGACAATCGGTCTCGTTTCTGGGGGGTGTACAAAAGAGTCGCGGAGGAACACGACGGTGAGTTCCTCGAGCGATACACCGGCGATATGGACATCGTCTTGGTCTTCGTAGGTTTCGCGTGCCTATCTTTGACTCATTTGAGACTGATGTTTGATCAGTCCGGTCTTTTCTCAGCTGTCAGCACATCTTTTATAGTGGCGATGGAGTCCAATCTTAGTCCCGACCCCAGCGACACCACGAATGCCCTTCTGAAGCAACTCGTGTACATCGGACTCGGCAACTTCGCTGAAGCGGGCTCCACGCCCTTAGACCCAGCATCTACGTGGTCGGCGACTGCGCCGGTTCTGAGGATCCAAATGATCGCATACGCAAGCTTGTCTATGAGCTTGCTAGCAGCATTCGGAGCCGTACTAGGCAAGCAGTGGCTCGGGTACTATAAGTCAAACAGATATGGTCGCGGTTCGCAGGAGGAACGAGGGAAGCGTAGGCAAGAGAAGTTCGATGGCCTCGTCACATGGTATTTCGATGCTGTCGTGCAATCCTTTCCCGTCTTACTTCAGATCTCCCTTCTTCTCTTTGGGATCGCCCTCGGCGCCAATATGTGGTATGAGCAGCCCAGCATCGCTTGGGTGATCATTGCCACAACGGTCTTCGGATTTCTGTTCTATTCGCTGACAGTGATGGCATGTTTGATATCTCCTGCCTGTCCATTCCAGACGCCGATGTCGACAGTGTTGCGTATATTGGGCATCCACAGTAAGATCATTTCGTGGATTCTTGTGATGGTTCTGTCTGAATCAGCATTGCAGGAGTTTTACTCTTGATCTTCGAACCAGCCTCCAGGTATTTCCGGCAGCTCAAGACGTCAGCGCACGGTAAACTATATTTTATTACGTGTGCACAGGTTTTGACCATTTCTCATCAGCTGTGCTGCAACGAATGTTTGGTACCCTCAGACCGAGATGGACCCGATTGTCTGAAGCATCGAGAGGTGATGTTCTTATCTACACTTACACAGGAGACCCGGTACTCATTCCACTCCCCAGGCGCTGTGTGTGCTACTGGCGCATTCGCACGACGCTCTATTCAGCTGTTATCCACCGCGCTTCACAAAGGGTTGCGTTCTTTGGTTCCGCGCTCTTCGACAAATGTTGTAGACTCAGAGGCACAATCACTCGACCAGAATCTGGATGTTTTGGCGGCGAAGGAATCCACCCTTACCCTCGGTTTCCCGCACATACCAACCAGCGATCTCGAAGCACCTAGTGTCAAGTGGCTGCTTGAGACATCCACGGATCCTGAAGTGTTTCTTGCCGCTGCCAGCTTTGTTCCGCAGGTTGAATGGCCCCTGGATCTTGACATCTCGGACATGCTGCCTCAGCTCTATGACATCTTCACAAGTTGCGTTGACATTCATAGGCAAATCGTACCGTCGTTGGAGGAGAAAGCCTCTGCATGTACAATGGCTCTAAGCCATCTATACTACGGATGTGTCCTTCAAGCATATCCTGGCCGGGGCGAATTTGTTGTCCGCGGGAGAAGAGACTTCGACGTGTTTCTTCAGATTTGGAGGGAGAGCATACGTACCGCCAACCATACGGTGCTTGACACAACTGTAAATCTCTGTCTTCCAGAAGATGACAGTGGAATTTCGTGGGTTACTTTTTTGTCAGAAGCTTGCCCCGACTACATCCCTGAGCGGCTGTCACATGTTCTTCCTTATCACTTTGTTACTGGGCGAGTGAATGAAGTCATAGAAAACCTCGGGATAACAGTGATATCAAAATTGCTATCCTCTCCATCCTCTCCGTCAATTCGAATTGTGGCCAATTGCACTCTTCTTGCTTGTACCATGGTCGGGGCTCAGGTTGACAGAAGAGACATAGTTAGGATTGACAAAAGGTGCCATCGACTCATTTGGTGGTTTTTCAGCCCTGATTAACAGAGATTGCGTAGTTCTGCACTGCCTCGGCTCATGGAGTCCTTTTTGGCGCAATTTCAGAAGGCTCTCTGGGCATGCAATGGAGGGGAGCTTGAAAAGGATAGCACAGAAGTCTCACGCCGGGCATGGAACCTCCTTGACATTATCTGTCGCATCCTCGAACTTGCTGGACATCACTTTTCTTCATTCCACACCATGCGGAACCTGGACGTTTGCAAGAAGATTTATTCACGAGCGAGGTCATCCGAACAAAACAATGCCTTGGTTTTGTTGACAGCCCTGCGAAATGTACTGCACTTCATGTTCGCCGCTGCTAACGTATCACGTAACCCTGACGAATTGTGGTATGCGCACCTGATGTTGCAAGGCGATTCTCACTCACCAGAAGACTTCGACTGGCTGGTAGACTACCTGGACTACATTCATTCCGACGACCACGAAGCGGCATATGACATATTTTTGCTACTGGGTAGCATGGGAGTGTGCTGCAGCCCCGCTAAACAACATTTGTTCATCGAGAGGCTCGTCGCCTGTATGGACAATAACATGCCTCCTCATTTACGTCATGCCGCTCTTCGCGCTGCTCACAGTGCCCGAGAAGAAATGGCCTCGACCGATGCCATGGATGACAAGCTACGAGACGTGGTTTTGACCAAGCTCTCCCCCGCTATTCTGTCCGTGCTTTGTCCGCACCCAGGTACAACACCCGCGAATGATGATCCTGACCGCTTTTTCGATTATGACCGCGACTTGTGCTATCTGAAACTAGTCTTTGCCCTCGCGAAGAATTCCGACTGGCACCCCCATTTGTCTGGGGATCGCCACGTTGATCGGTGCATTGGCATGATTCCAGAGTACTGTGATTCCGAATCACCCACACAGCATGCCTTTTACATAGCTGGTATCTTCCTTCGAATCACACCTGAAAAAAAGTCGGTTGCATCGCTCGATTCTGTTACAGAGCAGCAGTGGTGGGACGTAATGAGAGGCGCGTGGAACGATCCTCCCTATGACATTCACAACACACGCGATTTCGAGTTCATTCTTACCCTTGTGGATGGCACAAAGAAGTATATGCAGACTCCTTCGAAATCTGATCTCGAGAAGCTCATCAGAAGTGTGGATGAGATTCTCGAAAGACTGGAGCGGCGGATGCAATGGAAGAGGCAACGGCAGGAGATGGGACCGGAGACGCAAGGTTTAGAGCAGGGAGAGGGGATCATCATTGCTGTGAAGGAGTTGAAGACTGCAGCCAGCAACAAGCTGGAGAGCCTTGGTCAACAATTATTAGTCCCCCAATTATGACAGCGCTTGCACGTTGTGTTAGAATTTTGGAATCACAGGAAGTCTTGCGGAGATGGAGATGAAGTTCAAAAAGGATGCTTGTAATAGAATGGATAATTGGTTGCAGCTATTCAAAGCTCGCTGGATTGTGAATGCAGTCAAGTTGAAAGGACGCGCGGGCGCTTGTCTGGCTGCACTGGCACGACGAGGTTGCTGTGTAGGTTCCGGTTATTAGTTATGCCATGTCCATGTCATCAGTGTATAGAATTTTGAGTGGATCCAAATACAGGATGTCGAGAGTACTTGTAGAGACAGTACTTGGTCCAATCAAGACAGGCCTAGGGTGGTAGTCTACTCACCGAGCATATGTTCATTGAAAGTCGTAACGACCAAGAACGGAGTGAAAATCTGGGATGCAAAGACGACCGAGTTGCTTATCTCCGCGGCGTCCAATGGCTCGATTAGGATATTCAACACTGGATACAGACTTTTGACAACCACCATCACTTTGTTTTGGAACGACCGCCTTGCGTGTGGATCACGGGATAATACAATGCGTTTGTACAATCTCGACACAAACCTCCAAGTTGGACTACCCCTCCAGCACGAACATTAAAGGATCGCTTGGAAACAGTGGCGGCCCCTCTCCACTCGTTTCCTTCACCACTTGCACCTTAGCAAGTATTTAATCGTCTCGGTGTCTTGCTTAACCTCTTTTATCTGGTCTGTCACCAGATCCGGTGTCATGTCATCCCAAGCCCCACAGACGAATCTGTCCATAGAACGATTTCGCCTTGATGGAATGATGGTAGCATGTGCATTCTATGGTGTGTTTTTGTTCGAATACGACAATGTGGAAGTTGACTTATGTACTGTAATAGGCGTATTCCTTCTCCTTACAGTGCATGCCTGGATTGTTCTCATGCAACGGCCTCGATATGGGGGAGAAATTGCAGATCATCGTCGCTCGCTTCTTTTCTACGTCTACATCACGTTCGTATTGGGGACGATAAACTTTGGTGTGAACGCAAAGTATTTGGATCGATCTTCGTGACGCGCCTGGTGATCCGCTCGCGCTAATCGAGGGCTTCATGAGTCATCGTATTAACTTTATAGCGCTTACCACGTAAGTGTCCTTGCCCGTCCACCCGCAGACCTCAAGTATCGACGCCGCATCTAGTGGTCACATTCAGGGGTGGTTCATGCAAGCTCTGCTCGTGAGCTTAATAGTTTTCCAGAACGTCTGATACAAGCCTGATACTTGACATACTTAGCTCTACCGATGTTTTGTGATATGGAATTGGTCAAGGTGAGTGATGGTCCCAATGATCACTCTCTATGTTGCCATGATCGGTGCAGTTCGTCATCCACCAAGCGACGGCAGTCACTAACATCTCGAGCAGATTTGTCTATCACTGTCCTGTACCAGGCGGGGACCAATGGTTCGAACCTGCCTACCTCTGCATCGAAGTCGGGCAGACCGTGATTTATACCATTCTCGTGACGAATCGCTTGTTCGTCATGCGAGGGCGCATGACGTAGATTATGGCCCAATATGATTCCAGCATATACGATGCCATCGCCCTCATGGTCATCGGGTGTGCAGCGTTATACTCGGTCTTCGCTATTATTTTTATAGTGTCATTTGGTATACATTCTGACGGTGTTGTCACTCTATGCTTCCTGTCTATTGGCAAAATCCAGGTAAGCAAACAAACCTGAGTTACATCCGTTTCTGACATTAGTCCTCTTTATTGGACTAGGGCATCGTTCAATTGTTTATCATTATTCGTGTTGCATGGGGGCGGGGAGTTACACGCGAGTGGTCGACTCAAGACACTGCAATAATTACGGCTATAGCATTTACAGGGACTGTATCGGGCATTACAGAGGGAACCGACAATGAACGAATAGGCAGGCCAGAGCGAGACGTCATTCAGTTGTATGCTGATTCCGACTCGGAGAGGGCAGCGGAGGTTTCAGTGTCTGTAACCTGAAATTGGTTTGCATAATATAAACTTAATCTTTCAGACCCAAGCCGATGATGTGGTTGCACATAACATTCGGCGTCCTAAGGCAACTATTGTAATTTTGTTAAATTCAAATTCATTGTCCTTTGGGGTCGAAGACCCTATGTCGGACATAGCCCTTGTAATTTCTTATTGCAATGAATGGTAAGTATGAGCAGTCGAAAGAATGATTCTGATTGGTCAAGGAATGCTGGACAAAGATACGTATTATCATTGACCTATCTCGCCGATCAAGCGCTGATCTCCCAGTATCCAGTTTCGTGTTCCCCCGTGCACAATGAGACTCTGAATGTCTCTCAGTATCCATGAGCCCGGCTCCAGCCTGAATGATTGTCGTATCACTTATCGTAGGCCGTATACAACAACGGCCCTTGGAATTACACATTGCCAGCCTTTCCTATGCCAAAAGAATGTCAGGGACAGAGTAAATCAATCCCGACGTCTGCTGGCAATGCAAACGTCATTTGTTTGAAGGAGTGTCCTGGCAGGTAGACAGGGAACATTTAAAGGCAAGTTGGTTCCTACCGTCCCCTTCAGATATTTTTCGGAAGCCCATATCACATCTCACAAAGAATGCGTCTCTCTTTCATCCTCGCAGTTGCCGCCGCTTTCAGGTTGACAATGTCTATGCCTGTCGTTGAGGATCAATGTTCCTACACCCTCTGCGGCCCCGACGCAGACTACGGAGAATGCTGCCCTGGCTATAACTGCGAGGAGGTAGCTGACCCCATCACTGAGTATGAGTAGTTTTCATCTGACCCCGTGACTCACCGGCGCGGTAGTGGTCGCTCATATTTTATTGTAGCACCAGTGCTAGTGAGTCGGTTTTCTACTTTCGCATTGGTGCAGTGCGGTTGACCACACGACACGTAATTAGTTTGTTGCTGAGTACTGCGTGCTCAGTTGTCACGGTGAAATTTCACCCTTGAAGACGCTTAATTCGAGGAATATCTCTTTAGTTCTAAGTGCAGTAGTACAGACTCATCTGAAGCTTTGACCTGGCCCGTGATTCATTTCCATTGGTATTGGCTTATTCGTTTCAGTCCAAGCCAGCGCTGCGTGACATTCACGGTGATGAGCTTGCATGAGTCTTAAGTAAGCCACAACGGAAGATCCAAACGGACCAGACTCATCGTCATCCATCATAACTGGACAAGAATGTTTTGACACCGAGGCGATCAACTTGATTTTCGCAATTGCAGGGTTAAAGGTTGTTAAAAGTGAATCTAAAGACGAAGTCTCGGCGTCCGAGAAGAACTGCTATGATGGCATATTAATAGGGTACCGCACGGGTAACACCGAGGGTCGGAAAGTTGACACCGCACCCGCACCCGCCAACACCGTACCCTTCACGGGTACGGGTACACACCGACCCGTCAATGTCGCGGTTTATGGAAAACACCGCGGTGTCTCTGAACACCGCGGGTACATTACCAAGAAGAGTGTATTAAGTATTAACAACAATGAAATAAAATAGTACTACTTTTCCTTGTCATTCTCCTCTGCTTCGACTTCATTTCGCTTCCGTTTTTGAGTCCTGACAGCGGCTAAAAGGTCCTCCATCACCAGAAGATCACTTCTGCCCCACGCTCCGAGGCAGAGAAAGGCACGAATTGTTGATGGTGCGAGTCGGTTGCGAGTAAAATGAAGGAGCTGCCGGCCCTGCGAGAAGACACGTTCAACCGCAGTTGATGTTGCTGAGCAAGATAATAAGTATTGATTGATTGAAAGAGGATTCGAAGGAGACATACCTGGGACAGAGAGATAGTCGAGTGCCATCCGATGCAGCATTGGATAAGCACGGCAGTTGTTTTGCCACCATGCGAGTGGGTCCTTGGTTTTCACAGTTGGTAATCGAAGAAACTCATCCAACTCGCTACTAGTAGTACGAGACATGGAACCAAGTGAGTAGTCACCAAAGTCATCCTCGTTCTGTATAGTTGTCAGTGTCAGTGCAAAATTAAATGTTGCATACGGACTGTGTCTGCTTCAATGTCATCAGTAATCTCGGCAGATTTCTCGTATTTATCAATAAACTCTTCGTGCTAGAATGATTCACGGGGGTACAAAAGACATGACAGAAATCAGTATAGCATTCACTTGTGATCCTCAAGCTCTCAGAGGAAGGAAAAACAGAGAATCAAACACGGTGTTCAATGGCTGTCGCGCGCCTGGTTCCCGATTTGGTATATTATACCCGCCCAAACACCGTCAGCCCGCGGTGAATGGCCACGGTATGCTCAAGGGTACGACTATCCTACTCCGTACCCGTACCCTCCAAACCCGTCAGCATAGAACCGCGGTGTTACCCGTACCCGTGCGTTTCCCTACATATTAACGATACCTAAAGACGAAGTCTAGAGACAAACTAATGTAAGAGGGAGCCGGCGTGCATGATAAACGAGAAACGTACCTCAGCGTCCGAGAAGAACTGCTGAGGTACAAATAGACGAGGACAAAGTTTATAACTTAATATAAGGTAGTAATTATCGTATAAGGTAGTATAAGGTCCGTGATGACAAATGAAAGAGACGAACGAAAGCCAACCAGTGGTTGCGCTGATAAGTGCAGCCACCAGCCAATCATTCCCACATACGCGAGCACTCAAGGTAATATCGGCAGGCTTAACTGCACTATCTTGTTCACGATATTTATACACGTATAGCAAGAAAGGCGATAGTAGAATGAGGACGAAGAGAATACATATAAAGCAGACCTAGAAATCCATCGTTGTACCTTCAACAGCCACGTACTGAAACCTCCTATACGGCGGTGGAACAGAAAATGTTTCTCAATGATGCTTCATCCATGCGAGGCTTGAAGATCAGGCTGAAAGGCTTCTGATGTGATACTATGCCAGGTGTAAAGGCAGTGTCGTCAATAGGATTGTTAGGGTCTTCTGCCAGTGTAAAGGACCAGAGGATAAGAGCGACAGCGATGTACACTGATCTGAAACGTGGCGGATGCATTGAGACAAAACACTCATCAAGCCATATTGTCGACTCACCGGTTTGCAACATGCAACCCGGGGCATGCACTAAGATATGTTCAGCGGAAACCCAGTCAAATAAAGACTTGATATCTACCGTCTTCCAAAACCAAAAGTGAACAGCTTCATGTCCTCTCTGATTTCTCCGTCTAAACCGATCCATCGTTTGGGATTGAATAATTCGGGATCGTGATAGACAGAGGGGTCACGCGCGATGCTCCTGAACCACGAAGTAAGACATTGTAAAATAAATCTGGTGTGCACCAACCAATGATTTCCGAAGACAGTGGCGCCAGCAGGGATGCACATGCCGTTCTGTGATGATAAACTCAGATTTGATCTGTGATTGTGTGCGACATACCCAAATGATATCTTTCGTTGCGCGGTGGGGTAAACCTGGAACGCCGATCAACCAAATGGCCTTGAATGGGGATGATTGGCTTACCTATTGGATTGACAGGCCTCCATCGAAGAGCTTCCAGAATGAAGGCTTGAACCTGAACAAGCTGCGACCAGTCCTCAAACGTGGGAGCTGTGGTGCAAGGTCAGTTGGTTTTGAACTAAGATGGTTTAACTTGCATACTAGTCTCTCGGCCAATGATGGCTTCTAGCTCCTCATGCACACGAGCCTGTAAATGTGGAAAACGCGCAGCAGCCATTAAAACTGTTGAAATTGCGACAGCAGTCTAAGATTCCGCGAGTTAGTTTTGCCTGATCTGAGTCTATATCAGTTTCTTGGCCTACCGTATCCGAGCCTGCTCCGATGAGGGACCCAGACAGATATGCTATCTCTGTCTCAGACAGCTGGTTCTCTCCCGCGTGTAGAAGGAGATCCTTCACAACTGAATGAGGGGCAATGTGGTTGTCCTGTTCATGACGAGGTCGATGCAACGACTACACTATAGAAGACGAGTCCGTACCATTTGACTTTTAACCTGATTTAGCTGACCGAATAACATGTTGTATTCTTCCTGGCTCCACTCTTTTAAATTTCGCCCATAACCAGGGACATATTTGAGGATGGGGTACTTGTCAACAAGGTATGCACCTGGCACCATTGCGCTCTGAACCCTTGGAATCATCTTTTGCAGCTGTAGTAGATACGGGTCATTGAGCAAAGTAGGGGTTGTTTTCCCATATACGATATGCAGAATTACAGATGCTGCGAAACTATGCGCGGATGTCACCAGCCGAAATGTGAGAATAGGGAACGGACGAACCGTTTGATATGCTGCTGGTGCAACTTGGGCTCGTGCAGTATGTCCAGAATAATTTCATGTGCATGCGCGACCTGTACCTGCTCGTAAGTCTGAGCAGACTTCACCTGGAGGTGCGAATGAGAAGATCTGATGTGATCGGACTGGTGAGACAGTCGGGTTTTAAATCAACCAATGTGTTGCCTACTTGCGAAATTTGCGGAGCCTCTCGCCAGAGCCAATTTGGACGAATCTCATCCCTTTCCCAAGGATGTCACAGCCAGCGACAGAACGAGGCCGGTCTGCAAGGAATGCGCCCTGCTTCTCCATGATGTCAATGGCTTCCTGTCAGAGATGTAAACACCCAATGGTAATGTCCTACGAGATGTCATACCTGGTAACGTCCGACGATGACTAGTACATTTTTTCCATCCTGGAAAGACATGACTGGTCCATATTCGTCAATCCACTGAGCAATCTTCCTGGGTGGACTGTTGTCGTGCATCAATACATGACATTCATCGCACGACCACGACACATACTAATGCCCAATAGGAGGGACTGATGGACCAGGGGGTAAGGGTAGCACACAGGAATTAAGTGTGCGAGAGCGATAGTAGTAGACAATAACGCCTAGTAGACCGAGGATGACCACCTCAGTCTGCCAGTGCCACAAGGAGAGCATATTAAGCATGGAGGACATGGGCAAAAATCTTAAGACCCAAGGTGCCTTCTTCCTAGGAACCTCCACCCGGCTTTTGTGCGTGGTAGGATTCGTAGGAAAGTACTTTCAATGTCAGTTTATGATAAGTACACTCGGGAATTTTCATTCCCTACCTCTGATCAGCAACTGATCGGATCGATTAGTATGGCCAAGACGGACCTAGCGTCCCGTTCATGGCCAGACTTCGTGAACTGAGCCACCTTATACCACACTGTTATATGATAACCACCAATAAATGTTTGATTCTGGATATAACAAGGCCTTGGCGTAGATGAGATAGCCGGAGGAGACTGGCAGTTACGGGTTGTGCTCACGAACACATGTAAACCAATTTCTAAAGCACATGGTACTAATGATCATCGGTAACGCCACTCACGTGGCATGTCCCCGACTTCCGTTGGTTTGGCTTGTCGTCGATTAGCCCACCAAACATTCACGTTCCCTGGAATGCACAAGTTAAGATACTTAATGCACCTTAGGATAGGGATGGACCTACGCACGGAGACCAACCACCTACAAGATATAATAGACGTCCGTACATCTGCAAGCCCCTTAGCTATGGAGTCAAACGCTTTCAAGGATCCATGAACAGCGGGGAACATGTCGATCGTGTTGAAAGTGGCTTGTTGGTTGTTAGTTGCTGAGGCAGTATCTTGAACCAGTTCTGAAATATGTCTGATGCCTTTGAAACCTGCTATGGCATCCGAAAGAGATATAAGAGCGTTCCGAACTACAATAGTTGACTTGCCCTTTGCAACCCCTGAATTATCAGGATTTGGTTCGGGAGCGAAGCTGGGAGCGGTGAGTGGTAAAATTTTGCGGCAGTTAGTATCATTAGCGCATACGTCCTGGCGCTTCCTGCATAACGACTCGCGAAACAAATTTGAATGTCGCCTGCGAGATTCAGTGCGCGCTGTGAGAACATCGTTAGAAATAACCAGTAAATATAAAGGTAGTGATCCATACGCTACCTTAACCCGAATTGCTGCTCTTCTGTTCCTTCCCCTGGAATAAAATTGAGACGGTGTTCGATGTTCACTTTGCCCTGCCCGACTTCTTGCTTTGCCTCGTCATGCGGTAATGTAGCACGACCAGAGACCTGTGGAGGTGCGGCCCGCTGCCTCATGCTCTGCCAGGACAACTAGACCTGTAGTTTGCTATGCTTTGCGATTTTGATGATAGGTGGCCTTGATATATGGAACTCCAACAGTACTGTCGCAGGTCTCACAGTCAGCGACGAGCCTGATTCCAGATATACTGAGATATAGGCTGGACAGGAAGGCTATGTCGGCCTGTGAGAATGGGGATTCATGATAGATGGGTGAGCACACGGGCGGGATAAAAAGACCAGAAATGGATGAGGGAAGAGACGGAGGAAGACGAGGTTGACATCACACGGTTGGAGCCCGAAATCAGTATTCATTTCGAGACCGCGGCGGGCGGGCAACGATGAGGGTGGAGAAGTGGATGAACAGATAGGAGCTAGTGGTAATACAACTCCGCTTTAATTTGCCGAGGGCACTGGCAAGACTCCGACACCTTAAGCTTAAGCCTTAAGGTCTGCGGAGACCTGCACCGTGACCGGCCGTAACTTGCCTATTCACCAAAATTCATTCGATGCCACCATGCGACTGTAACTTGTAACTTGACATCGTCGTCATTTTCCTGACTGTTAACGTTGAAATTTCGTTGGAACGTTAGCACGTGCATGTCCTAGGGCGACGGTGACCTTGCAATGACTGGCAGGATATCCATTATGGCACACTTCTGTTCAATTTGCACGCATCACATACGTTAATATTGTCGGATCACCGATGGCGCAGTAATTTTTTTGACAAGACAGCACTGCTCGGTGCTCATCTGGATCCGCACGAGCAATTCATGAAAATGGCGAAGGCCGTATCTAGACGTGGTACAATCCAGCGATTGTCTGAACTTATGGTAACCGATAGTATATACCGTTTGGCATTGGGCCGCCGCAGATTATACTTACCACATATCTACCCAAAAGCGTTAACCATGGCGACTCGTCAGGACCATTGGACATGTGTACGTTCTGTTCTTATCATTGGATTTGAATATAGCGTCTCGTTCGTGATGGATTGGCGGATCGAGTGTGGATGCTATTATGATTATGGCGAACAGACGATCCGAATCATGGGATCCACCATCATATTGGTGGCGGGGCGAGTTTATTTCCTTGAAACGCGTTGATCTTATCTGGCTGCCGCCACGATAAAACGTTTGACCAGGTAAGTTCACTCACTCACCATCCGTTTGTATGCTTTGTCAATCAATTATTTTTGCTCACAAAATGCTATCAGCCATTCTGCCTTGTTATCAAAGTGTTGGGCGTGGTTTGGTGCTCCTGTGATGCTTGCTTGTAAACGCGCAGTGGCAATCACATACTTGTGAAAATTCCACGACGCTCAAACTTTAACTCGCTTGCAATCATAGTGCAACGAGGTCGAGGAGCTTATCAAGTAGCTAAGCCTGGTTTAGCGTGGTGGAGCTAATCCCCTTTCGAATCAGCCCTAATAACAGGAATATTATCGGACAGACCATATTGAAACCCGAAGAACGACAGTTCTGGTCGTGCCATTGTGTCAAGGCCCAGCGCTCAGCCGCAGCTTGAGGGTTTTGAAGATTTCGGGGTATCACGCTTGCAGTTTCAGTCCACCTACGTGCTAAACATTGACCCGCAAACTTTGATATTTGGATTATTGCTCTAATCCACCTCGTCGAACTCAGAATCTCTATGAGGTCATTACTTTTGCGAATACATCAGACCACCACGGAAACTGAGTAGAAAACAACGCCCTGCGGTTTCATATTCAAGGGACATACTACGTCTTTAAATAATTATCCAAGAAATATAAGATAGGCTACCACCTCTTCCGAATCATTTGACAGCACAGCGTTCGCGAGTAGATACAACAGTATGGACCCGAGATATATCACCAAGACCAAGACATGCATATAAATGAGATACAACTAGGGGGTTTAGATGTGGTTGGGAACCATAAGGCCTGGATCCCATGGGGCGTTCATGGTTCGGAGACTTAGCGGAGAAATTGATGATGGAGACGTACTTTTGGGAGGGACACACGCGAGAAAGTCAATGAGACATCAATTGGAACATCCCATGAAACCATCATGCGACAAATATAGTGGTGCGAGCACTGTAAAAAAGGGTGTCCGCAGAACAAGCTGACATGGTGCTATCCTCGCTCGGGGAACGTATTCCCTCCTCGTGACCCCTCCGAGTAAAACAAACATCACCCCTCCGGGGAGCATTAGTGTCGCAGCTCCGGCGGATCCACGAAGCTTCCGAGTGAAGCATAGAGATAGGTCTTGTATCCTCAGATTGGGGTTCTTCCATGCTGCTGAACCCAAACCACTCGCAAGCATCCCAACCAGAACCTCGCTTCCCACACCCTCCATCAAGATCAAGGCCACCACCGTGAGGACCGAGGCTCGCGGGAGAACATGGCCGGGGGAAGGGCGGGTAGAAAGCAGGTAGAGATGATGTTAGAATATCACCCTCAGGCTCAGGTGTGGTGCTCGGCGTAGGAAGCTGTGCAGTCACAGATAATTGTTCTTTTGCGCTGTCCTTGGCTTGCGGATTTTGGCTCGCCACACCTTCCCTAGCCATTGTGGGATTCTGACGATCTGCACCAAGGGAAAGGGTCCAGTCATCCCCTTGTGCTGCTTGTAGAGCTTTATCAGCTTCATGAAGGGCGCCGTCCTCTGAAGGAGGCGTTGGTACACAAATGCCACTCCCCGGTGTATCGATGCAGAAAGGCAGCGACAATGTCCAGTCTGCACATGCAGGCGGGATAGGCGTAGCCTCCAATGTGGCTCCACTTCGCAGCAGGGGAGCAGATCTTCTCCGCTCCCGCGGAACTGCTAGAAACGGTATTGTGCAAGCAGCACTCGACTTCCTCCTTGCTATCTTTAGTGAACTTGCAGTATCGGGGCCCTCAGTATGGATCTGCACGCGTTTCGGAGGCGAATCGGAACAGCTGAGTGTCCCCTTTGAACGCCGAGTGCCTAGTACCAGTATGCTCTTCTTTTTCATGCGCCGTACTTGAGCTTCCAAATCACCTGCAGCTTCCAATATCCCAATACTCGCGCGCTTGCCTAGGACAGGGGAAGCGGCATTGGACAATCCGTTATTGGTGGCGGAACACGAAGAAAGTTCTCTCTTTCTCCCTACTTTAGAAGGGGAGGAAGGCGGACTGGGTAGATTCGACGGAAGAGGGACCACGGTGCGTCCTGTAGCACCCCAGCTTAAACGAGAAGGAAGTCGCAGACTTCCAGGAGAAGGAGGGATCGCAACTGTGCCCGAAGGCGAACTAGGACGCACAGGAGTACGAGCACATTTTGAAGGAGTCGGATTGATTGTTGGAAGAGGGACTGGGGCGTTCGGAGGCGTGATAACGTCCGATTTTTGTGCCGTTAAAGGGGGTAATGGAGGAAGGGGGCTACATGGTGGAGGTCCCGGTAATGGGGGTGTCAGCATGGAACGGGAGCTAGCCCGTGCACGAGACCAGGGAAAAGAAGAGGTTGTTGAAATAGACGATGCAAGTGTATTAGATGAGGCTGAAGGAACGTGTGACGAAGGCTGGCATGATGTGGGTATGGATGTAGTAGGAGATGAGAGGGAGCACGCGGAGAGGGAACCTTCAGTATCAGAAGGTACATAAGGTGATACTCCGATCGCTGGTTGAAGACAGAGGGATGCAATCTCTTGAGGAAGAACCAGTGTCAATGCTGAGGGTCGTCGTCTTGTTTTGGCCTGGACAGTACTGTCACTACGTCTATGCGATGAAATGGCAAATTCAGTCGCTCGAGGTGTGCTAGACTCGATGACATTGCATTCGGTTGCTGAGGCGCCCGACCACTTTTCCATCACATCTACACTCGTCATTGCCCCTTTGCATGTGTTACTCGATGATGATTTGTTACCAAACAAGAGCTGCAACGGTGAACGGGGTGTGGGTGGAAAGTGAACCATTTGCATTGGGGAAAGCCGAGTGCCAACTGGAGATGGTGAGGGGGATCTCCTTGTACTGAAGGCCGCATGACTCTTTCCTGTTTCCGTACATACAACTTCCGCGAGATGCTTGGAGAAACGTTCAGACGTAGGTATCACTGAACCGAGACTTGAGGTCGAAGACACGCTGGTCAGTGTTCTCGAAGGTGATAAAACGGCAGAAGTGACACTGCAGATAGACGACGAGCGAGAACGATTCGATGGGACACGTGCAATGTCTTCCACCTGCGCAACATGAATATGAGCGTTAGAGTGCAGATTCACATACGCACCGCATGATCCTCAGCTCGGCGAGACCTGTGGGGCGATGAACGCGATAAGCGCCAAGTAAATGTCATCTTGCGAGGGCTCGGTGTGACAGGCTCGTCTACCTGTTTCGTGGGCGAACGTGGAACGAGTGACAGATGTGATGATGAGCGAAAGAACAAGCGGTGGAATGTTGAGGTTTTTGGTTTTTCCGGGATCGAAAGGAGTGGGTCGTCAAGGATAGCCTCGGGAACATCAACGATTCAAATCTTTCCAGGTCCAGAGACTCGCTGAGAATATGGTTCAACTCATTTATAGATAGAGTTGGCGGTCTGCGGGTATAGAACATTCTATAGAAGGAGCGACTAAGTGAGTGAAAAGAGTTGGACAGACAAGGCTCGGGTCGACAGTCGACACGGACAAAGCATTTTCTTCGTCGCAAAACGTGAAGGCTTAAGTCAGGGTTGGAGGAGCCTTACCCGTTCTAGAAGTAAGAGTAATACATTATACGATTTACGATACGATACGTACTAGTTTCATAATTCACTTGGGTTAACGAGATGAACGGAGATCGGTGGACTTTAAGTTGATGGGCGTCTACTATGATGATACTTGAGCAGGCCCTGCGGCTCTGGTGAGCTCTTGGTGAGAAACTCAGTGTTTTGAATAGATGGTTAGCGACGTGTATTATGAAGAGGCAAACCATAAAATTCATCGATGCCAGCTGAATTGATCTACGCGAATAGTTGCCTAAGCTAAAACACGAGGCCGACTAGTCGCAATCGTACAACTGGCCCTGCCAGCGCGTTACCTCACTTACAGCAAAGGCCAAGACCTCCAGCACCGCTCGGTGTATGTCTATCCACCACCTGACGTGCAGTCTCCCTCCACCTACCACACTTAACCTCCAATCGCAACATGAAGCCTGGCGCTGCCTCTGAGCCTCGAAAGTCGAAACCTCGCGCTGACCGCGCCAGGGCGTGACCCGTGACCTCCCGCTTTCACCCAGCCGCATCAGAAAATGTCCCAGTGCGGCTTGTTTAACCTTATTCTACTTAGCAAAACCGCATAAGAAGATAATTTGATCACTCTCTAACTATGGAAGATGACACACAAAGACAAGGAGACATGAGAAAATTATATTTTCAAATAAAACATGAAAGAGACATGTTAGTTTTTTTTTTAAGTTTGTCCCACTTCAATGAAGGATCCGAAACGAATAACACGTCTAAATCAAATGTTACTGTTCGCGAGTGCGAGGATGATGGCGCAGGCTCATGTTTTAGAATACCTGGCGATGACGATACTGGTAGAACAATTCTTCATTCCTGGGGGAGATCTGGTTGAGGCCAGAGATCGACATTGAATAACTCAATGACGGCGTGCTCGGCATTATCGGCGGCATAATGTAGAATGAGTTTGCCGGAGGGAAGGTGGGTTTTGGCGAAGGCGGCCATGCGAGGGCCACGGTGGACGCTGAAAGCCCACCTTCAATCACTGGAGAAGGACGAGGATAGCGAAAGTGACGGACGACTGGAGTTTGGCGGGGTGGAAGGCGCATGAACTGATGAAACGTGATTTAGGAGTTAGATGAGCACAGATTACGGGTATTCTGGACAAGCAAAGACATAGGTAATGGACAACCCGAGTTCTAGGTTGAGTTGAGGTGGCGACTTTCGTGTAGACGAATCGTTGTTCGTGATCAAGAGGCTTTACTGCCGCCGTTCCTTAGTGCCTGAGTATCAGAGTAAGTCAGAAGCAAATTTGCAGCTGACGAGGTTTTCGAGGTCTTGTCATTACGTTCTTACTTTACATACCTTTAAGTTAAAGTTGTTCTTGTCAGAAGGGGGGAACAATGCATATCACGCGATTGGTCCCAGCACAGGTCAGCCCCAGACTTGGCTCGGAGTACAATAAGCACCTTCTGAGACCCCGGTACCGGGTATTTAAATGTATGATCATTGCATACGACTCCCAGTTCTCCAGTTTCTGAATTGTCTCAGCTTAATTTTCACCTTACCAGTCTCAAGTACTCCGAGTCTGGTACTTGAAGCAAGGAAAGGCACAAAAAATGATCAGGGACCTTCTGAAATTTTCGTCGTACGGCGTACGTACCAAACTTTTCTCGTCATTGATGTCATGACATGTCGAACTTGTATTATAGTAATTGAATAATTGTATTATCTTCATAGCCAGTACTACTCGGCGAAGGAACTATTCTTCGGAGATCGTTTACCATCAGCTTGGACCCGAACTGGCATTTCAAGAGGCTTTAGCCTGGGTTGTACTCGTCTTCCAATTTTCCAATCTGACGAGTCAATGACTTGCATTTTGACAGATTAATGTCGTGTCACATTAGGGCATTTGTTTGTCGGCCTCCATTCCACTCCTCGAGGACAATAGTGTCTCGAGTGTTACAATTATTTGAAACTCGTATCATAATGCGGCTATGTGGGTCCCAGCTTTTTTCCAAGGCTGATGGTGACTTTAGCGTCTTGCAAGACTCTCAGCGGCGCGTGTCAGAGGCGATCGGACACCGTAGTGTGCTTTGTCTGCCCGGGCTTAAACATAGTCTTCACTGGCGAGTGTGCAGACTGTCAGCTTTGATATCTTACATCACACTGCTGAAGATCTTCTTTTCCCATAGACACTCGTGATGCATCCCTGCAGCACATGTGTCTCCGGGCCTGAATCATCTTCCTAACGGTAATGAAACGCGATTCTTGCCCTAAGCCTCAACTATTATTGGCCTGGGACCCTTTGTGTCAGTGTATCCAGAGCCAAGCCGGTCATGACGAACAAAGCTACAAGCGTTTTTGAGGGACCATCCCGGTCACTTACTTGTCAAACCCAATTTTATGTCCTTACTATCTCCAAATGGCAAGCATATATTATAATATGGCCTACGTGTCTCGAATACTTATATTTATCTTCAACAATATTAAAGGTTGACCCGGCTCCGTACCAACTATGTAGTTGATGGCGAAGCAAATGAACAATCGTTTCTCCATGTGCCACCTGAGCGCGCCCCTGTGATACCTTATGACTGGGGCCAAAATTCTATGTGAGTCGTCAATAGTAAAGTCTGCTCAGGCGAGGTGCCTACTAGCCCAACCCGAATGATAATTAATGTGGACGCGATACCCTCATGACATATATTTAGTTGAACCACAAACCAGAATGTACGAAGACTCACATATATTTGTGTCCCAGCGTAACTTAATATCGCCTCAGCAGGATTTTCAATGGCCACGAGAACGACAAAGATGAGCTGCGTGACCATATACAGAGCACCGCTTTCGATGATTAGCATCATCGGGCGCCCGCCGGACGCGATTTTCAAAATCGCTGGCGTTCCATGCTCGTCGACGACGGGAATGCGAGTTAAGTACCAGAGGCGACCAGCGATGAGCCCAGTGACCATAATATTTGTGCAAAGAGGTAAAACATATCCGGCAACAGTCAAGGGTACAATCTCAGTTGGAGGAACTGGTGATGTCGGGTTGATTGACAATAATAAGGATGGGATGGGCAAAATGCACCCTGGCACACGGAAAGTGAAGGTCAGCGTTTCCGTCTAAAGAGAAGATTGATAATTTACCAAAGCCCCCAAGAGCAGTGAGCAGTGGGAGAATAATCACAAAAGAATTCTTCCCCCAGACAAACCAGCATCGATAGATTAGGAGCAAGTCTCCAATTAAATCTACAACAGAACTCAGTAGATTGGCTCCCATCATTGCAGGAGTTTCGTCTCCGAACTCTGAAAACGGAGTATATTCCTGTGCCAATGTAAGTCTTCATTACAATCATAAATTGTTATTCCTCACGAGTGCAGTGTAGAAATGGTTGAATACCAATGCAAAATGAGCCGTCGATGTTATAAACAGGAGGCAATTTGCAACCCAGATTACTCGATTGGTTAGTCGATATCGTTTGATGAGAATTACAACGGAGATGATAAACAACACGCAGTAGACTCCTGCATAGTGATGTCAGTGATCACTGATCTGATGACAGCAGGGAATCGCGCACCATACAAAAATGCCTCGCATACCACACCTATGGTTGCAGACACATTGATTGAGATGTCCATCACAACTTCAGAGGGAGAAGAGGGCAGGAATGCAGGAAATTCGAGTCATGCTGCGACACCCTATTACCATTGAAATAGATCTACATCTAGCAAAAACATATGAAGCACTAACGTGATTTAGCTAATGGGCAGTTCCAGAATAGGGCTCCGTGAGTAATTCCTGGCCGGTCAACAGCAGTTCAAGTCGTTGACATGGGTTACTACTAATAGCTTTCGGGTTTTGGAGCCCTGGCGGTAGCACTGGGGGACGAAGCCCGTAGACGGGTGAAAGTTTGACCAGTCTGACGGTCACTTACTTGCCAACCAATTTCGTATCCGTTCTATGCCTAAATTGTAAGCAACTTCATCATATAGCCCTTCTACACGCATACATCACTTGTAATATGAAATATTCAAAGGTCGATCCGATGACCGCTGCTCCACACCCGATCTGGCAGCTAATGGAGAATTAAACGGAGCGATCATTTCTCCATGTGCCAACTGAGAGCGTCCCTGTGGTATCTTGTCGCTGGGAATGAAACTCCACTTGAGTCAACGTCATCGCCGACATAGTCTGCTCAGACGAAATCCCCAGCCCAACACGAATTATAATCAAAGTGGACGCAATACCCTCATGACATGTGTATATTTAGCTGAACCCCAAACTAAAATGTACGAGGACTCACATATATTTGTGTCCCAAGCGAAACTTAATATCGCCTCCGCGGGATTTCCAATGGCTACGAGAACGACAAATATGAGTTGCGTGATCATATACAGAGCACCGCTTTCGATGATTAGCATCATCGGGCGCCCGCCAGCCGCGATTTTCAAAATCGCTGGCGTTCCATGCTCGTCTAAGATGGGGATGCGAGATATGTACCAGAGGCGACCAGCGATGAGCCCAGTGACAATAATGTTTGTGCAAAGAGGTAAAGCATATCCGGCAATAGTCAAGGGTACGATCTCAGTTGGGGGAACTGGCGATGTCGGGTCGATTGACAATAAAAGGGATGGTATGGGTAAGATACACCCTGGCACATAGTGGGCGAAGGTGAGTGTTTCTGTCTAAAGAGAAGGTTGATGATAATTTACCAAAGCCCCCAAGAGCAGCGAGCAGTGGGAGAACAATCACATAAGAATTCTTCCCCCAGACAAGCCAGCATCGGTATATTAGGAGCAAATCTCCCACTAGATCTGCAACAGAACTCAATAAATTGGCTCCCATCAATGCAGGAGTTTCGTTGGTGAACCCTGAAAACGGAGCATACTCCTGTACCAATGTAAGCCTTCATTACATCACAAACTGTTATTCCTCACGAGTGCAGTGTAGAAATGGCTGAAAGCCAACGCAAAATGAGCTGTCGATGTCATAAAGAGGAGGCAGTTTGCAACCCAGATTACTGGGTTAGATAATCGATATCGTTTGACGAGAATTACGAAAGAGATGACGAATAGCACGCAGTAGACTCCTGTACAGTGATGTCAGTGATGCGTCTGAATCACTCTGATAAAGAACATCACACACCATACAAAAGCGCCTCGCATACGAGAGCTACAGTTTGAATTACGTTTATTGAGACAGCCATCCGACTGCAGCAATGTGGGGAAGATACAGGAAAAAGTTCACTTGAAACCTGGCAAAAGTATGCGCTTTAACTATCAGATCTGGTGCTGTGGTAAACCATGATTCCATCAGGTCGGTGGCCAGGAGCACTGCACTTTCTAAACCTGTCCGAGTAGTATGTCTCGTGATCCTGTAAGTAACACGAGCACAACGCAACAAGCTTACCTATAGCGATCACCGACAAACTTGAATAATTGATACGTGATTGCTTAAGGATACAACTTGTGGGCTCATGAGGTATGAGTGCCAGTGAGCGAGGAAAGGCCCGTGGGTATTCCAGGACCTAAGGTAGATCCCTTAATTACTTGCCAATCAATTTCGTATCCGTGCAGCGCTATGCCTAAATTGTAAACAACTTCATCGCATAGCCCTTCTGCATGTGCATGCATCACTTGTACTATCTCTGGCCCGGTGTTGCAAAACTTTTCGACCCGTTTTTTTTATAACACAACAACTACATAACATTACATAAAATAAGGCAACAACATGAGCGGGTAGGATTCAGTACATACTGTAAGGCTATGCAAAAAAAAAAGAAATATGTCGAGGCTACGTTGCCAAAGAGAAGCCGGTGCGAAATTTAAACAGTGTTTGAGCACAGAGTTGCAAATATACTCGCCCGCACAGAAGTCGTCACGTCACACTATGTCACACCACCGTTTTTACTCTCTGATGCCGTCAACTTGAAGTGTTAATGAATCTGGGGCAATTGACAAGCGCTATTCTGTCACTGGTATGGTAGGCAGATGCTGGCAGATGAGTGGGAATGTGGAGGAAAGGTATTGTGCAGTGAAGAAGTAGTGAAAATAGGACCTGAAGTGGGAGGAATGCTTGGGAGAATATTGCGGGAAGATGAGGCAACTGGCATTTTGTAGGATGGTCCTACATGCGATGAAGTAATGGCAGAATTGGAAGGAGTGATCTCAAGACGAGGGCGCATGGCAGGGGGGACATTCTGGACATTTTTGTCAGAAGGACCTTCATTAAAGGTCCGCATGTAGAATAGAGTAGGCATGTTGAATTTTATCTTCAAGTTCTTGAGAAAACAGGGAGGGTCATTTTCTCTTGGGCATATGACCAGTGCTGCAAGACTGACGGTCGCAGTTTAACGGTTTGCAGTGCAAGTTTTGGCCGAGCTGCCGAGCATTGATTTGTGACTCTGAACACAAGTCTCGTCCTGCATCTCAATAGTACAACATTTGTATCTCTCAACACTACTCAGTTATCATGTCAGAAAAACTTAGAGTGGTATTAGAAGGCAATGGAAAATCACTAGTAAAATTCCTGATTTTTTTAACGCATGTGCTGGCTTCCCTCCAATGGATTGGCATGGAAAACACACATTCTGAGCAGTGTTTCACTGCCGCAAGCACTTCTCGTCCATTTTTCATGGAGTAAAAAATACAAACAGCAAGCCTTGAATCAATCATCCTCTAGAATCATTGTGAACAGGAAATGAGTGAAATATGAGTGAGCTACATCACGATTTGCAATTCCGGGCCAGAGATAGTATGCGTATATATATGTTTAAACCATCAAAGATCCAAAGGTCGATCCGATGACCACTGTTCCACACCCGATTGGGCAGCCAATGGAGAACTACAGGAGCGATCATTTCTCCATGTACCAACTGAGCGCATCCCTGTGGTATCTTCTCGCTGGGAACAAAACTCCACTCGAGTCATCGTCATCGCCGACATAGTCTGCTCAGACGAAATGCCCAGCCCAACACGAATTATGATCAAGGTGGACGCAATACCCTCATACGCACATGTTAATTCAGCTGAACCACGAACTAGAAAGTGCAAGGACTTACATATATCTGTGTCCCAGCTAGACTTAATACCGCCTCAGCAGGATTTCGAGTGGCTACGAGAATGACAAAGATGAGCTGCGTGATCATATACAGAGCACCGCTTTCGATGATTAGCATCATCGGGCGTCCGCCAGCTGCGGTTTTCAAAATCACTGGCTTTCCATGCTCGTCGACGACAGGAATGCGAGATATGTACCAGAGGCGACCAGCGATGAGCCCAGTGACCATAATATTTGTGCACAGAGGCAAAGCGTATCCGGCAATAGTCAAGGGTACGATCTGAGTTGGAGGAACTGGCGAGGTCGGGTCTATTGACAATAAAAGGGATGGTATAGGTAAGATACACGCTAGCAGATAGGGAGTGAAGGTGAGCGTTTCTGTCTAAAGAGAAAATTGATGATAATTTACCAAAGCCCCCAAGAGCAGTGAGCAGAGGGAGAACAATGACATAAAAATTCTTTCCCCAGACAAGCCAGCATCGATAGAGTAGGAGCAGGTCTCCAATGACGTCGACCACAGAAATCATCAAATTTGCTCCCATCAATTCAGAAGTTTCGTTTCCGAAGTCTGAGAACGGAGCATTTTCCTGTAGTAATATGAATCTTCATTTCGACATAAACCTCTTGTGTATTCCTCACGAGTGCAATATAGAAATGGTTGAACATCAACGCAAAATGAGCCGTCGATGTTGTAAACAGGAGACAGTTCGCAACCCAAATCACTCGGTTAGACACTCGATAGCGTTTGATGAGAATTACGACAGAGGCGATGAATAGTACGCAGTAGACTCCTGCACAGCGATGTTAGTGATGGGCCTGAATCACTCAGAGAAAGAACATCACACACCATATAAAAGCGCCTCGCATACGAGACCGACAGCCTGAGTTACGTTTATTGAGACAGTCATTCAACCGCAGCAACGTAGGAAAGATACAAGAAATTTTCTCCACTTGAACACTGGCAAAGGTACGTGCTTCAACTGTCGGATCTGGTGCTATGGTGATTCATGATTCCATAAGGTCGGCGGCCACAATTGAAGAAACATTGCTAGCGACGGTCCGTGAGCGCTTGAGCGGCGGCCTGGATAATTGGTTCCTCCCCAAGTCTTGCCACGGGGGCCTTGGCCCTTTCTAAACCTTTTCGAGTAGTAGGTCTCGCGATCCTCTAAGTAAACCGAGCACAGCGCAGCAAGCTTATCTATAGCGCTCACGACAAACTTGAGTAACCGACAAGTGATCGTCTGCTTATGGATACAACTTGTGAGCTCATAAGGTATGAGTGAGCAGGGGAAGACCTGTGGGTATTAATATTCAAAGGTGTTATCGCGCCACAGACTTGTGACCAGTCTGACGTACGTCTTCAGTGGGAGTTGGGGAATTTGACTGGTTCAATGATCCCGGAGAAATTTGGCAGCAACTCGACTTACATAAGCTTGTCGGTGATTATAAAAGCCAGGCTGCGCTATGCGAGGCTACGCCAGTATGTACCAGTAGCACTGCACTGTACTGATATCGCAAGTTGGATTTTCCAATGATGTGATGTCAGAGAAGTAAATTGTTTGAACATGCAGTGCAAGGAAGTATATCGGATGCTATTACAATTAGGAATAAAAATAGATATCAAGAATGTGAACTGTTCATGTCATCACTGAGCTCGTGAAGTTGAAATGGGTATCACTGGGTATCAAGCGAAGGTATAGTAAAACTTCAGAATTTGTGAACGGTTTCAAGGTTGAGAACCAGTTGCATGCCCTGCCCTGTAGGAGAGTAGCATAATCCCATCCATCTACGAATATCTCCCAAACAGTCTATACGCCGCGGCCCTTGTCGATGTTCCCAGTCATGCAACGAAAGACTCGTAGAAGCTCTCTCTTGTAAAGCCCACAAAACTGCTTCGACACCGTCTGGGTTTACACGTTCGATGTGTTCCATCTCAGTTCGAGTAAGAGGTTTCTGCAGCCATTCGTAAATGACATCGAGAACATCTTGGACCTTGATAGCGCTGGACCTTTGCACCCTGATGGGATTCCACATGTACGCCATGGGACAAGCTGGGATGGCAATTTCGATGATGCCAACAGGAATATCCGTGATTTGAGAGCTCAGGACATGTGCCAGATCCGTGGAGATATGTGCGCCTGTTGTCAGCCTAGCCGTAATTGGGTTCTGGCGGATATCCCACTGAAGTATAGGCATGGCTGGTTGGAAAGGATTTATAGCAAGAGAGGGTACAATTTCCGGGCGTTCATCGACTATCTGGGGCCATGGCATAGCAAACAGTGTGACAGGAGTACACTGAGTTGTTTCGGGTAAGTAGCTAGGTCCATTCATGCGTGGAGTCCAGGTCAGATTGCCAGCTGGGTAAGACCACACGTTGTGGTCAGGTTGTCTGGGTGGCAGCGCAGGCCTGCTAACTATGCTTGTGTCGGCCCAGGCAGGCCTCCCCCACGTATACCGCGGTAGAAAAGCCATTTCGCCATGGAGGGGCAGATCCTAAATCATACAAATGCATCCCGTTACATTGATTCACAGAAACCAGAGAACAACTTACCAGGGGTGGTGAGAATATCATAATTCACACTTCGAACACTTTTCTGCCTTGTGCGGCGGAAGGAAGAATTGCGCCACCAACTACACAAGCCGTTACCGCGATTGGAACAATCAGAGCTGTAGAACGAATTGTAGGACTGCATGATGGAGGAGTTTGTTGAAGACTGGAGTGTCTACAGGAGAAGCTTTTGTACTGTCGGGCACCTTAAGGGCGGGCACAGGTCGTCACCACAAATGAGCCAAGAACAGCGCCACACGTCTCAAGAATCGATGCGATGCCTATATCAAAACAAAAGCATCGCACACAAATATTACAAGACAACTTCAGCAGATACAGGTTCATCGCTAGGGTGGAGGATTACTTAGCTGACAGCAGAACAAGACCAGGTTCACAAATCGGGGGTAACGTGAGCCCGTAACTTGCTGGCACAATAGCATTGCTGCACACAAATGTACACATGCGCCTACAGGGCAGTGCCCGAAGCAAGGCTGTGCCACGACATCTCACCGCAAAAGCGCATGTCAGGACTCAGAAGCCTAGCAATTAAACAGCCAGACTGCCAAAATTCCTGTGAATCTATTTATTCCATCGGAATACACCGACAGACTCGGAGGCTCTCGGAGGTTTCTCGAGGTCCAGTGACTCATATCGAAACGAACTCGTCTGAGCAAGTGCCAGTGAGTGTGGCGACATGTGCACAAACAAGTATTGAAGCCTACTGTCGCACAGAGCCAGTGGCAGGTATGACATCCCTCCACCGACACGTCGAGCGAGGCTCGACACCGGAGAACGATTCAAAGCGTTCAACCTTAGTTCCAGAGCTGAAGTTCGGAGAACTTCAAGGTCAACGGTGCCACACAGTATTACTTGACCAGTACTAGTCACAAAGCGTGAGTAGATGATCAAGCTCGAAAGTACTGAGCCAGTAGATCATTGATGGTAACGACGTTGGCAGGTGGAACCCACGCCCTCTGGAGTCTGGACTCTTCGGCACTTAAGCATCATATGAGCCTCCAGTCTAGCAATAGAAAACAACAGTCAATCATGTCGGTCAAATGCGCCGATCATCTTCTCACATTTCACGATCAATCCTCACGCACGCGACCACTAATAGCTACGAGGGCCAGTCACGGTATTGACGTTGAACCAAGCGCAAGACGATCTAGGCGCTCGCTCGGTTCCGAGCACTGAGATTTGAGACACGGCGATTTCCATCAATGACAGAATTAACATCCAATGAGGGCGCAACGGCCACGATTCCTCCACGTATCGTGACGCCTTTGTGATGTGGCGTAAAAAGCTCAATAACGGTTTGGAGATACGTGAAGTAGTACATATCGAAACGTGAAACGAATTACTCCTCAGACCTGAGCAGAAGCATGGATAATGGAAAGGAGGCGTATGATAGTGTCTATGACCATCCAAGCCGAACTACACAGACCGAAACGAGAGCCGAAGATAGGGCGGGGGCATGTCCAAATCACTCTGAATTAGCGCTGGCAACACGGTCGCGGAGACCCTCAGCTGTCACTGTGTCGGTCGGCGCTACAGCGCGCGAGCCGGACAAGTTTGACATGACAGGCTTCAACAAAACGGTATAAGTCGTTTGTGCGCCCTAAAATAAGACATTAATCGCCTGCGTCTCGGAACACATTCTATCTCGCGACTTACGCGGAAGTTCGGGAGTTGCAGCCAGAGGACGAACACCGTCTTGAATGCAAAGTACCACGGGAAGTAGTAGAGAACCATTCTAAGTGCAATGCTCTCGAGGAAGTTGAAGAACCCGAAAACAACCCAATACGTGAGCCACTGAACATCATCCTGATGCCCGGGACTTTCCAGCGCCTTGAAGGAGAGGTAACACGGAAGGGCCCATCCAACGAGGTTAGAAACAGGTGCGGCAAGAGGGTTGACAAAGTGGAAAAGGGTGAGGAGCAAAACTGTGGAGATGACGAAATAGGTCTTTGGAACCTGAGTTCGCTGCTCAAATGTGTTCAACACTGGATACTTGGTGAGCTGTTGAGGGGCTTATGTTAGTTAAAGAAATTTAGCCATGAAACCATTACTAACTTCTTTGTCAAGCTGTTGAAAGTAATAATTCGCCTTGTTCTGCGCCTGGACGAAAGCAGGGTGCTGCTGAAACTTTTGTGCGGAGGACATCTGCAGAGTAGGGGACAATAAACGGTTTTCTTGTTAAAAGCCAGAAACAATGATATCTAATTTAGCACGACTGACCTTCAGGGGGCGTGAAATATCTACTGAGGAAACTGATTAGGTAGCAGTCAAGACGGTGGTAAGAAAGAAAGAGAGTTGGGCGGATACATCGTTGATATGGGTTTGATGACATGTGTTTGGCGGCAACAATACGTCAGCTTACCTCGAGTCTCTATGGCCCAGAATCGTATATTGGTGCATCCACAGCAATCTCCGCAGCAGCTTGCTCTCCATTTCAGACCCTTTCACAACTCGTGCTAAATGTCTGCTGCAGTCATGGATAATTACGAGGCCATTCAGGTATGTCCTTGACATCTACCGTATAGTCAGATTCGGACACGTCTCAACCACGCTGAACAGGCCCTACATAAATCACTGCCTCCATTTTCACCTTATGTGCCCGCGTCTCTCCTGCCGTCTATAGCCCTAATTCTCTTGGCATCAACTTTCGCTCTTGCATTCTACTTTTCAACGTAAGTCGCCGCTGTACACTTCTGTAATACGTGTTCCTATACCCATGTCCACAGCCTTCCAAAAGACACGTTTCCACTACGCGAGACTGCGGTGGCATCATTAGCAAGTGTCCTCGGTGGTTTTGGAGTTGTTGCCCTGTTCTGTAGTGTTGGAGTGAACGTGTAGGCATGTCCGTGTCCTAGCAGTTCCAATTGGATACCCCGCCCTCAACATTTACACTAATTGTTGACACGCCAGCCATGTTTGCAAGAGACACACTGAACAACAATTGATGAGACGAGGTCAACGAAATGAGGGGGGTGAGCGTACTGTGTATAAAATTGTTGAACCTTCATCAGCACTGCGCATCTGCGATCGTGGTCAACTCAGTTTTAGCGTAAACGGTATTGACAGTCTTCCTTGCCTGTTTCTCTTCGTAATAAGCTTCCAAATGTCCGCAAGCCGGGCATTTTTCTGACACCTGTTGGTGGTGTAAGGAAATCTTAATATCTCAAATTCATTGATGCTGGTCACCTTTGGTAAGACTTTACCCTGATGAACCTTTGTTTGGGTTTTGCGCTTCTGTCTCAGCGCTGAAGGGAATGCGTCGGGGTGTGACCGAGTGGTGATCTCAATGTTCTCATAAGCTGCAGTTGATCAAGATGATGATCTGTGTGGCTCAGAGAGTACACACATGATGCTGGCTCCTCATAGCTGCATTGTTCGCAGATGACTGTTTTCTCGTCGTCTTTCGGAGGATTGAGCAGAGTGCCACAATGAGGGCAAAAGATAAGAGAACCTAGGAGTCGATTGGTCACTTTGTCTGTCTCGGATCTGATCAACTCACCAATTTTATGTGCAAGTGTCGGCATGAGTTATAGTCACTTAGGATTTTTACTAAAAAAAAGTTTACGTCTTGGAGCGCCTACAGCTGTTTGGACAAAGCATGGCTCGGCATACGGCGCCTGCGGGTCGTCGCGTCGGGTGTAATAAAGATTGCTTTCACCAGTTTTAGAACAAGGCCTTTTTGTGATCGCCCAACGCCGAAGACGGTCCAAACATACATTCATCACTGCGCCCACACTGTATCGATGCAAGTTGCTGGACCCTAACGATTGCTTTGTTTTCACTGTCTGCGTCCGACGTAATTATCGCTGAAGAAAGGCCGGCTGGTTAATGATCATGGCACGTTTCGATGGGTTGCTTTGACCCGTCTCCCATGTCAGATATCACCGAAGATTACAATAAAGGGACACCAAAATGAGTGGCACTTCTTTGTTCTTTCACGTACGCCGAGTCCAAGCTAATCTGACGTACGTATGAGCCCCTACGCTGCATATATATGAACGCCTTTTTCACCCATCAAATCTTGGTCCCTCTTCGTAATCCTTACTTTCCCCTGCACGCAGGCGTGCTACTGACTGCTACTTATACGATTTTTTAACCTTCTTTTTGCATTCACTGACACGTCAAACGTTACTTCTACGATCACGCGCCACTCGTTAGAACTTCTATTCAAATAACGCCATCTCACATGATGTCTTCCCATACCACTCTATCCGACGCAGCTCTCTCAGACCTTATTTCCAGGCTACGGTACGCCAACGCGCGTTACGGTCAGATCGCTTGTCAACTGCGCTGCCGTATAACAATCACCCGCACGTATCACGCACAACGACGTGCCTTCTGGTCTGGCTTGCGCGTTGATATAGCAAAGGCTAAGGGTTGCCCTTCGACCGCGATTTCAGTCAGGCCCTTGCCTGTCCTTGATACGACTCCGAGTCCATTGCCACTTATGCTTTCACCATTGGCACTGACTGCCGAAGCCCACAACGAACTTGGCTTGGAGATTCCAGACATTGTCGTATCTCCACCCGATGCCTACGTCCAACCACACAAGCGCCTTGTCATTCGTATTCCACCGCTTGCTAGCCTTCATGACGATAGGTACCGTCATGAGCACTGTGACATGTCTGCTCCGGGCGCGCCACTCATTCGCACCAAGGAATTACCCGAGTGCGAGATGGATGAAATGTCCCCTTCACGTTCATGTGGGCTCTTATGAAATACTTGTAGCATTTTTCGTGACTAAATGATCATTTTCAGCTTCTTCCGCATCTTCCACCCCCCTCTTAACACCCGTGAGTCATCTAAATTACATGACCCTTTAGCACACTAAATTCCTGTACTAGATCGACATTGTCCACTCTGGTCTTCGTATAAAAATTCCGGCCAGGAAGCGCAAGCTCGGAGAGACTGACGACGAAAATTCCTGTCCGGATAGTCCAGACATTCAGTTTCCCAAGGTTTGTTCCTCCATGATTTGATGATGCAAATGCTGAGACCTTTATTCTAGAAACACATGAGAAAGCGCTGGGCTCGTTCACAGACGACTAATGATCGACTATATTGGTCTCCTCCTCGGTCACAAATTGCTTCGTTTTGAGCTTGCAAGAACATCCACATCACGATCTTATACGGTTTCTGCGAATACGTACAATACCCAGCCTGTTTAATGTTTCTCTTTGTTGTGGACGCTGGTCACACGCGACTGTATCTTTTTCCATGTCATTTTCAGTTGCCTTGTGAAGGACACTAGTTACTGCCTGTCTAATAGTGTATCCCGACTATTTGTGTCACCCTATCATGACGGACCTTTTTCAGTGCTCGCTTATCCCAAACCTGTGATTGCACCGAAATGTGAACGAGAGTCAGTCGCGCCGATAGGTCTTCGAAACAGAAAACACTTAGTCTTCTGTAGTTGACGATAAAGTGGTACGACTCGGATCCGGCGCTGTTTGCCTGCCTAATGCAGGCGGCCCGTACTGCCCCGACGGGTCACGGCCCTTATTCTCGTCTCGTCTTGCTTATATTCCATTCGGTTAAAGCTACGTGAGCCTCGAGGCAACGGTCGTTAAATATATTCTTGAAAGGACTTGGACAGGAACATCCTCGTCTCCACCTCTCTCGCGTACCACGACGTCGTGGCAACAATCATGATGAGTGCCGAAACTACTGATCCAACCTCTCAATCAAACTATCGTCAGATCAGCACAAAGCACTTTTCACTCGACTGGTCGATTGACTTCCATGAGAAAGTGATCAAAGGTTCTATTACACACGAGCTTTCCGTGCACACGAGCGACATAAAGGAGGTCATGTGTGTTTGTTACCTATCCATGATATGCGGAAAGTACTTATGTGTATAGCTTCGATACATCGGATGTCGTGATCAAGCGGGTGTACGTCGAGGGCGAGTCTTGCGATGCTCAGGTGCGCAGACATTCTTCTTCGATGTGCGGGTTCAAAGTGCCATGATGTCTGAGTTTGCAGTACTCCCTGGGAGAGAAACACGAGGTCATGGGCTCCGCGCTGTATATTCCACTCCCTGCGGGTCTGCAGCCAGGATCATCGGTAAAAGTGACGATCGAGTACAATACAACGGAGCCAGGATGCAAGGCATTGCAGTGGCTCGACAAAGCGTCAGTATCCATTGAACAACTTCTTGCTTTGTATTCTTGCTAAAGCTGGGATATTTGGAAAGACAAACGCATGGGAAGACCCATCCTTACCTGTTCAGTCAGTGCCAACCGATTTATGCAAGAGGTCTCTTGCCATGTCAAGGTGAGTTTCAGAATTTTGATATATAATATGCCACAGTAGCTTAAATAGTGTACGACACACTCAGATACTCCATCCGTGAAAGCCGTCAGTCATTGTTGGTATGGCTCAGTTGTGACTTGTAACTGAGATCTTCAGTAGACATATGAAGCGAGGATCACGTCCGTCCTTCCTGCACTCATGTCCGCTATTCGAGTATCTCCACCTGCGGAAGGGCCTGTACACGATGGGAAGATCGTTGGGGAGGATGAAGTCACTTACGTTTACAACCAGGTGTGTGGTGCTCAACAGAATTATCAAGCCTTACCTTGACCTCCTTGATATTCAGCCGGTGCCCATACCATCTTACTTGATCGCAATTGCGTCAGGAAATCTCTGCTACCACGCATTCGACAAGCTCGAAGGAAAAGACTGGACGAGCGGAGTATGGGCCGAGCCGGACATCATCAATGATGCTTGGTGGGAATTTAAGGAGGACACGACAAGGTTCTTTCCAGAGGATTAGGATTGATGAGACATTTGAGAACTCTTTGCATAGGTTTTGGCTGCAGAGGAGGAACTCGTTGGCATGCCGTATAAATTTGGCGTGTATGACCTCCTGGTGTTGCCTCCCGCATTCCCTTATGGTGGCATGGTGCGTTCTTTTATATCCCTCGGGTCAGATTCTGATGGACATTCAGGAAAATGCATGTTTGACGTTTGTCACGCCAAGTCAGTGCATGTGAATTATCATGTCGCGTTTCTGACCAAAGATTAGCTTTGTTAACTGGCGACAGGACATTGGTAGATGTCGTCGTACACGAGATCACGCACTCCTACTTCGGGAATGGTATAACGTCAGAACATCCTCCTTCCTCACCTACCTCTTTTTGATTGGCATTCTTGCACAGGCACGCTGACGCCTCACACTTTTGGCTCAACGAAGGCTGGACGACGTACATCGAGCGCCTCCTCCAGCAGATACTGCATTCTCCTGCTCACCGCGGATTCTCTTTCCTGAGCGGTTCGAAGGACCTTTATGATGCTCTCAAATTCTATGAGCAGCGCAACAAGAAATATCAGAAATTGCAGATTGAATTTGAGAAGGGCGAGAATCCTGACGACGCCTATAGCTCGGTGCCATACGACAAAGGGGCCAATTTCCTCCTCCACATTGGTCGGTGCTCGTTTAGTCCAAATGCCCTGCAGGATGTTAACGGCGTGTTTGGGCTTTCAGAACGAACGTTGGGTGGTTTAGATGTGTTCCTCCCATACATGAAAGACTATGTCAAAACGTTCATAGGTAAAAGCATCACCACAGAGATGTGGAAGGACCATCTTTTTGGGTATTACACGCGGTTTGGTGGGGAGGATGAGCTTGAAGCGCTCAAAAGCATCGATTGGGATGCAAGTATTTGATTTTTTTCTCCTTCAGGTCACTCGACTCACGATTGTGTCGACCTAGGCTTGGCTTTTCGGAACGGGCGTGACCCTTCCCGTGCCCATGGAGTACGACATGACCCTAGCGCAACAATCCTACAAGCTCGCCGAGAGGTGGAGCAAGACTAAAGACATATCTGAGTTCAGCGCCGCCGACATCAGTGGGATGGACGCCAACCAGATCTGTGAGCACGAGTATCGCTTATGATTGTTGCTGCTGACCATATCTTATAAGGCGCTTTCCTTGAACGACTACAATCCTTCGACCCGTTGCCAGTAGCGCATATTGATGCCCTTGGTGACCTCTACGGGCTGGTTAAATCGCATAATGCGGAGCTCCGTTTGAGGTTCTACGAAGTAGCTTTGCTAGATCCCAAATCTGTCAAGTCGGAGCTATATGCTACAGCGGCTTTGAGCTGGATTGTTGGGGAAGAGGATGGGATGGTCAAGGGTCGGATGAAGTTCTGTCGGCCAATGTTTAGGGCGGCGTTTTCTGTCAACAAGGCGATAGCACAGGACAAGTATCAAGAACACAAGAGTTCATTCCACCCCATCGCACGTGATCTTATTGAGCAGGTGAGATATAACTAGATTTCTCCTCGATGAAACTAATACCGGCGTAGGACATCGAGTTAACCAAGGGCCACGGGACTAATGTATAACGAATAGTCATCTATCAAACTGTATCTAGTACAAAATCAATGTTACTTAAAGTCACCCCACAAATCCCCGAATACATCGTCCTTCTTTGGCGCGGGCTGTGCCTGAGAAGTGCCAAGAAGGTTGTTGGCGTTACTGGGTGCGGAGACAGATGATCCCCAGATGTCATTTGTGTTAAATGAGGTCGCCTGAGACTGGGGCTGTTGTGCCGCAGGAGTCACAGAGCTCCCCCATAGTGTGTTTTGGGAGGGTGTAACGGGAGTAGCGTTCCAGCCAGAAGAGGCGCCCCACAAACCAGTGCCACCAGTCCCCATCATGCTTGTTGGCTGAGGCTGTGTCTGAGGGGCGCTGCCAAGTTGATCCCATGCTGATTGTGGCTGAGATGGTGACGCAAAAGTGCCAAAAGCACTGGAACCGGCACCTGTCGACAGGTTGGAATGACTGGGGGCAGCAGCGGGAGCAGAGGAAAAGAGGGACATGATATCTGATTTCATATCTTTAGATGGCGGTGGTGATGTTGCCTTTTGAGCAGGTGCATGGAAGTCTAGTGAAAATAGGTCATCTTGAGATGGAGGGGTGGGCTGCGCCAATGTTGGCTGAGGTGCAGCAGATGTCGGAGGAGTGACGATAGTGAGTTCAGAGTTGATTGCTCTGCCGGCAATTGCAGAGGAGAGCAACTGACGGGATTGAGGCTGACGTGTTGTAATGTGGGTCTGGAGTATTGGAGATGCTGATCTTGCGCCAGAAATACTGGCATTTGTTATGTGAATTGAGCGTGAGGATTGCGTAGCCGCAGGGGGTGGCTGCTCAGCAGCTTGTGAAGCATGTCCATTCGAAGTTTCAGTCTCCAGAATCGATGGATCGGACGGCGGGGGTCCATCAAGTGCCCATCTTCGAGATTCATATTTTGAACGTATGAATGACTCCATTTTGCTATGGTAAACCATGAACTAATGCTTTGACTGAAGGACTAAAATCACATACTGGTCTGGGGGGACATGTCCAGACTTTAGATGGGATTCCCAGTACAAGTTGGCACGGCGATTCCCCCATTTCTGAATCGACTGCGAAGTAAATGACGTTGAGCAAGTGGTGAGATTAACATACGAATGGTATGACATTACCTCCATCTGTTCCGGTGTCCAGATGTCAAGATCGACGGACTTGACGCGGCTGATATGCGTTCCCATGCCACGATGGATGCCTGAACAGCGAATGCACAGGAAGACACCTCTGGAAAGCATGGTCAGGCTAGAGCAGAAGCGGAAATGTAAAACGCACAGATTCCATGATGCCCAACGAGGATCTGGTTCGAGAGTAATTTAAGAAGTTGGGAGATGGACTATGGAGACAAGACTAACCGTTCCGCTTGCAATCTGCACAGACCTTATTGTCTGAGTGCTTGACCAAATCTTTGAGAATTTTAGCATTTCTCTCAGTCGTGGCTTTATCTTGCCTAGACATGATGGTCGACGAGAAAGCGAAATGGTTAGAAACAAGATGAACAGTGTTTCGGAGGACAAATCAGCCTCATTCCTAAAACGTGTCAGGGCAGGGTCGGCATCCTATTATTACGCACTCCCAACGTTTTTGCTTACCGCGTCAATCGTAAAAAGGCAGACAGCGTACTGTCTGCATTCAACAAGGCTAAACTAACGACCATCACGATGTCAGCTACAGCTCGTGCAGAGGCCCGTCGCAAAGCTATTCTCAGCAGAGGAACTGACCGTCTGTCGAAATTGACGACGACTGCTCGTGGAGAAGATGCTCCCACATATATGAATGCTGGTGAGTGTTTTGACTTGACGCATCACGGATAGTATCAATATTTTGTGCCGTAGACACTCCTCCCAGAGCTGCAGCTGCTAGTTTTATGGGCGAGGCACCGAGCATGCCTCCTCCGCCAAATATGCCGTCCCCGTACTCTTTTGGAAATGCAGGCCTTGGCGGTGCAGCGCCCGACCCATCTGTTTGGTCAGAAGAGCATCATAGGCAGTTTCTTCAAGCTCTCATGGGTGGCGCAGCCAATTCTCCACAATTTCCTCAGCCTCAGATCCCGGCTGCAGCCTCCAACGGAGCAACTGCACCTCCTCCAGGTGATCCTTTCGCTGCGATGATGAATTCCTTACAACAAATGGACCCGTCTCGTGGTGGCGCTACCGGAAAAGTACCTGAACCTCCCGCACCTACAAAGCCTCCCTCGGTCGTGCAGAAGTTCACGCCATTGCTGCATATCCTATGCACATGGCTTATTCTGGGATTTTTTGTGCTTTTCAAAGAACCCCAAATATTAGTCGAGCGCAGCGGTGGTTTTTCGGAAAGTTTCTGGAAACGTTGGGCAGAGCTTGCTTGGAGAAGCTCTAGCATCGAGGGCTGGGGAGTGCAGTTCGTGGTCAGTGTTCCGCGCTTGCGTTCAAATATCGTCACTGATCGACGTATAGCCGTTCATGTGGGCTTTCATGACTGCGCAAGTCATGCTTCACTCAATACGTATATACACGGGCAACGCAAGTTTCTTTAGGTTGCGAATGAATGTTGTGCTGATTATACTTGCACAGAACCAAGTACGGCCCCCGATTTTGTTGGCGCTGGCTATGCCTCATTTGCCCCCTCCATTCCCATCTATCATCACGAATGGCTTGCGCTATGTCCAGATGGGAGGCGCCATTCTTGATGATCTGTCGGCGGTTGTATTTGGAATTGGGATGGTTGTGTTGATCGCTGGATGGTTCGCTGGATGATCGGTTCACCCTCTGTAAATTCTGCCAGTATGATGAGTTTAGGATCATCACATGCATGTGTCTAATAGTTGATGTGAGAAAGTATCATGAGGCTAGGGTAGTATGGCAGCGGCTCCAGTCTTTGGGCGCTCAGGTGATGATAACATATTTTCCACCATGGCTTCCAGATTCTCTGGGCTACGCGTGCTCAATTTCGGTGTCCGTTTCTTGGCAGCTGCTAAGCGTTCCTTCTCCTCGCCGGGAAGAATGGGCAGACCAGCAGCTTGAGCAGTAGCCTTGTACTCTTTCCATCGATCACCGCCAGCAAGGTCCATTAGTTCCTTGGTAATGGATGTGGACCATTTATTTGAGATGTCGATCGTGGTCTTGGCTCCGTCCTCTGTACATTTGATAGGAACAGTGGTAAAATGGGAGACAAGGAAGCGGGTGAGAACGTGAAGTTCAACAGAAGAAATTGAGTTACCGAACTCGACGACCATCTCAGGTGTCCAATTATCTTGTAAAGGTTTTAGAAGTTTGTTGACCTCCACGTTGAGTTGTGGGTTGGCATAGCGTATGCGTCTGAGCTCTTCCTTAACAAAATGGCTAGATCCGTCTTAAGTACGCGTGTACCAGAGTTGTCTATAAAATAGCTTACCGTGCTCCGAAATGATCATTTCTTGCGGCCAGCTTCAAGCTTATCCCTCGCAGACCGGTCAAGGATAACCTTGGTTCTTCATTCAGTTCCTTCAGTATGACAGAGAGGCGAGAAGGCCCTGGAATGAACTTGGGTTTCCGAGGCATTCTGAATGAAGTTGAAAGTGAAATTTAGTATGTAGCCGCGGCACGGATTGGGCTGTAGGTTGTTTGCTCCTGTTGAATTCGAAGGCCTCCTTCCTTTCTTGGTGGACCCATCCATCCCATAGACGTTCATCACTCTAATCGCTGTACTACATCATCCAATATGGCTGAAGAGGAGACTCTGGTATCGCGTAGGTCGAAGAGAAGTACGGCGGGGAACAGGTTCGTAAGATAATTTTGCTGGTGCCTGGACTGAAAATGATTAGGATGGAGGCAGCCCTCGCTGAGCTTGCCGTCGAGGAAGTCAACGAAGCTGAGGAAGACGTCGACTTTATTGATGACAAAGGTGAATTTTATGTGCTCAATACTGATGGAATATATTTGACGCTTGTATCTAGATGAGGAAGATGTCTTTGAATCAGATTTCGCGAGTACGGACGAGGAGGCAGCTGCTGGAGATGTTGATATTGAAGAAAAGGCTGCCGAGGATGAGCAAAGGAGAGCAAGGAGGGTATGTGGTGATCACAGGTTGCCTGAAAATATTCTTACATTTATCTAGAGCGCGCGCGTAAGGGTGGAGAAAGCTACCGCTGCTGCTCATGCTCGCCAGAGGGTCACTTTTCATCCCCAAACGGAGACTTCAGAGAAGAGACCTAACAAGGAGGCTCAGAAGCTCAAGAGACGTGTATCTCTTGGTGTCGCGGTTAACGCAGAGACAGGAGAAGTTATTGAGGGTGGTACGAGGCAACGGCAGAGTCAGAGATCACATACAATCATGAATACGTCAGCGACCGTCAACAGAATGAAGGATGCAGAAGAGAAGCGGGTAAGTCCTCCTATAACTTCATGCTCGACGCGCTTCACTGTCCCTCCTGCAGGCCACCATTCCGAAGAAAGCAAGAGTAGTTACAAAGGCACCGACACAGGATGAACTTATCGCGCGGGCCCTCGACACGGAGGAGGGAAATATTATTGAGCATCGGGATTATCTCAAACTGGAAGAAGAGAAACGTGCGCGTGCTCGTGTGGTTCGGACCGCCCTTGAAGGTCCAGTGTTGCGATGGATTAGCCGGAAAGAACAAGTGAAAGTTGAAGTCACACCTCCGGTGCCTGCCCCATATCCATCGCAGTACGGTTTCATCTACAATCCACATCAAGGGACTTCGTACTCCGGGACGCAAAATTACCAGTCGCCCTTCCGTGCATATGTTCCAGCGCCGGAAGGTTTGCCCGCGGCATCACATGGCTTGGCTGCCACATCACAACCGCAGTTGTCAACACCATCTGCGAACACGCCATCTGCGAACACACCATCTCAATCATCATATTATTATTACCCCGCGCAACCTCCAGCGCAAGAAAGAGTTGACGACGTTTGCAAGAACTACATCGTGCACGAGCTATCCCAAGATCCATCTGTAGCTAAACCGCAATGGAAAGATACCATGTCAGCTATGTTTGGCGACGAGGTCAAATGGGACGAAGTCCGTGTGTTCACAGGGAAACAACGCCCATTGAGTGAGTTTTTTTCGTTCGGTGTTTGTATTGCCTAACTCTTGCTGTAGGTCGACCTGTTCGAGCTTGCCCGATCACTGGGACACCTGCGAAATATTTAGACCCGCGAACAAACGTGCCCTTTGCGAACGTTGCCGCATTCAAAACTCTGACCAGAATTTTGTCTCACGACTATGTCTGGAGCGAGGCATTGGGGTGCTATGTTACTCGCCATGAAGAGCTTAACCATGATGTTGATGAGCCTATGAACGGCACCACGACAAAGTACAGAAGAATGGACAATCAAGATATGCAAAGCGACGGTACTTAACTGTACATATTACTGCACTCGATACGACTCGAGCCCTTCGACAAGAACAAGACTTATCACTGGCGGCTCGCTTACTATCTTAATGGTCGCGTACCAGGGGTTTATCTGTGGCACGCTATTAGCTGCAGTTACATGGCATTCCGTGATTCCTTAACGAGGATTCGCAGGTTTATTCTCAGGAATCTCAGCTGGAGTTTCGTTGCGGGTCGCTATGGAGCGCTATGGACGAATGGTAGAAGATGGCAAAGTTCAAACAGGATGGCCCCGCTCGTCGGTTGGCATCCGTCACGATACCATTGTAGGAGACTATCTGTCATAATATGAGGTGATATAGCGAGGCACTTAGAATAATTCTTGGTTAGGCGCGAGCACTAGGATCACCTCCCCTAACCCCCCAATTGCAAAAACTGCCAGATCAAGTTGATCCCTTCGGTGCCTAACGATGATACAGGTATAGCTACCTATTCTTGCCCAATTATGACTTAGTCACATGATGATAGATAACGATAGGGAGAGGAAACTTCGTCTAGTCCATTCAGTTCTGTCCTGTGCTTCATCGTATTTGGATAAGGTTCAAACAGAATAAGGGTGAACCCGGATCTTCGAGTGTCCGAACAGTGACGGTAAGACCATGCATGGAACGTAGTTCCTCAAGCACTCTATCGCAACATGCAGCATGCCAATAGCGTCAAAGGTTCTGGTGCCATATGCTGTCAGGAAATGGCACAACATCGATATTGTAGCTGTGGGAACTATAGGGATATAGTTCTGCTTCAGCAAAATAGTCATTACATATACTGCGAGAATTGGAGATGTTAATACAGGGTATTAAACGGCCATACACGGCCGTGCAGATACGGCAAAATACAGCACCTTGATACCCGTACACCGTAACCATCCACTCAAGGTCTAAACAGACAACGGTACGCATCAGGAAATTCACACATTCCTTATTTTGCCCTTAAACAGACTTATTCACACTTAACCACCTTGTTGAAAGTGGATCTACTTGTCCGAAATTTCAACTTGAATGTATTAAGAAAAAAAATGTTGAGATGTATTAATGGACATGTTTTATTATGTTTCACATTAAAAAAATACAAGATATGCCAGGTGAATGATGTGAGAGAGAGAAAACAAGTTTTGAAATAAGTGAGATAAGCTGATTAAGGACGTTAAGGAATGTGTGAATTTACTGATGTGGGTACGGTGACCGTATTACGGCCCCGTAAAGTCCCGTTGTACGGTGTACGGTGAACAGCCCTAGCATGAAGGGTTGAAGGGTGATCAGTCCTTACTGTAGATGGCAGCTGTAGGGAGAAGGGTACGTTTCAAGTTTAAGGCAGTTCAAGATATGTGGCACTTGTGAAGTGTTCACACAGTAAGGTTAAGAGTTGACTTTGGGGGAACAGACTTAGAATTCAAATGGGTAATGAACTGTCCAAACTAAAATGTGATATTCGGGGGGGTGGGGGGAAGGATCAACTACCCTAACAGTAGATCAATGAATTTATATACTGCAGGGTAACAAGTCATAAGTAATCTAAAGGAAACAGAGAGAAAATAATTGAACGCAGGAAAGATGGTGAGATGTTGCCACGCCGTCATTCTGGATCAAAAGCGAAATACGAGCCTCTCATCAATGATTTGTCGTGCATCGCTTTCTTCCTGGACAATGTACCATGGGCATTAGGGCCCAGAAAGACTCAAACTCACGAAATGAAACGACTGCATTGCTATTTCCGGGTCGTTAAATGTAAGGTCTCGCTTGTAGATTCCAATTGGTGGCATATGATCCTCCTTTCTTCATCAGTTCGTCGTGTGTACCCTCTTCCTGAACAGATTCGTCGAGATACCTGTAATGGCCACGTCAGCGCAAGCTTTGGTGTTCGACGAGCCTAAAAATCACAATATAAGGTCCGCATGTCGGGTGAGGTTCCCAAACCGGTGAGTAGAAAATATCAGGGTCTTTTCGCCCCTCCACTGTTGTAGAGTATCGAAGAGATCTAATTCCAATAAGAATATTAAACTTGGCAAAGAAACAGGAAAGCGCACCGTATTCAGCCTTAGGGTCCAGGGCGGCACTCGGCTCATCAAATAACATCAGACCAACGGAAGAGTCTGACCCAGAGATAAATGAGCGCATGAATGTGCGAGAGCTAGTCGAAAATTCAGCACACATCGCCTGGAAGGTCGAGACGTGATCTCATACACTGCAAGCCGCTGCATCTGCCCACCGCTGAGGCCCGAAATGGCGACATGGCGATCCCCAGTGCTATCCGTAGAGGAGGGGTCGATAAAATCTCCATGGGCTATCGGATCCATGACGTGGTTTTCAACGGAGTGTTTGATGTAGGTGTTGAATCCGCCAGGGAGGTCGTCGATGAACTCTTCTGCGCTGGCGAGACGGGCGGCTTCGCGGACCTTGTCACCATCATTTGCGAGTGTAGGGTTTCCAAGCGCAATGTTCTCATATATCTGAGCGCGAGTTAGGTATGTTGCCTCCAGGGTATGTGGGGAGGCCTCACCGAGAGGGGGAAATGTGTGTAGTCTTGGAAGAGGATGGACATGGCATCGCGGAGGTCGCCCAGTTTGAGTGTTCTGATGTCGCGATTGTCGATGAAAATGGTTCCTTCTGTTGGGTCATAAATGCGGGAGACGAGTTTCAAGATTGTGCTCTTTCCAGAACCGTTCGTCCCGACAATGACCTGCAATCAACACTTAGAGAACGTCACCACTGTGAGGTTACCTACGCAAAGTTGACCAGCTCCAATTTTGAATGATACATCTCGGAGAGCATATTTCTCTGTACCAGGGTACCGGAACGAAACATTCCTGACATACATGCTTCAAAAATGCAAGTATAGAGCAACGAAAACAAATCAACCTGAACTCAACAGGAATACCACTCCCGAGAGACTGCATGTTCTCTGGGAACGACTCCCTGCCATCCACTACCTTATTCTGCACATTTTTGATCTCATATAGCGCGCGCACATCGGCAAGCTGCGCCACCAAAGTGCCACTTTGGTAGGGCGAGAAGTTATCGAAAACCAACGAACTAGAGGTACGATCGATAAGGAAGAGTGATGCCAAGGCGAGGGGCAACGTCATTGGGTTTTGAATGACGCGCAGGATCAAGATGATCTGGTTGATTCGGTCAGCTTTATCAAATTCATGTCAATCACGAGTACCTGAGGCAGCTCATGCATCACACCGTGGAGAATAGACATAAAACCCATACGTTGCTTCATAAAATGCAATCTATGCAAGTCAAAGAAGTCACCTGCATCATCACCGACGCTCTGAGCCAATTCGTGATATTCTAGGATCGGGATGCGTCAAAGTGGAGTCCAACAAGGTATGTTGACATACGTTTGGTAATATATTCGCCGAGGTTGCCTGCGACAAGCTCTTTCCGGTGTGACAGAGCATCGCAGAGGCCCCTCAGGCCTCGCATCCGAATATAATCTTTGTTAGTCGTGTTTGCGCCCCAAACTACGTGTGGCTCAGATGGATGTTCATAACATCGATCATTGACCTACCTGAAGGTCTGACCACTGATTTTTGTGTGCTATACCACCGGAATATAGATCGTGAGGAACCGAGAATCATCAGGAGGAAGCCATCCTGTTGCTCCCGTAGGATTGTAAACAGAACCGATAACTGAATGACCACACTGATAACTGTCGTTGCTAACTTCGTCAATGCCTGGATAGCTTTCAAAGCTATGCTACTGCTCGTAGAGGACAACGCGGACGCGAACTGCCTCTGGACGTCCGAATCTTCATAAGTAGGCAGGTCGAGGCGCACCACTTCGTGCAATACGCGCTCAGCATAGAATCGTTTAATGGAAATATGCATGGGAGTAACTATGATGCTTCGGGCGTAATGGAGAAGGCGCGTCGTGACTTGGCATGTAAGGTGTACTACCGCAACATGAATGAGAATCGTTGTGTTCACAGTATGTGTCTCCATTGCGGTCTCTACCTAGGTGCAAAATAAGTGAGCGACGAACAATGTAGGTGGAAGAAAATAGAAGATTACCAGACGGAGAAGTTGTCCAGAATACCTGCGCAAAATCTATGATGTGCAGACAGACGCCCAGAGCAAGGTCGTGACTTACCATAGGGAAATGGCGGGTATAAGGGAAGATAAGACTTCTACAACAAAGAATGCTGATAGAAGGAGCCAACTTCGTCTGATGCTGAGTATATCCCTTAACATTTGCACTACGTGGGGTATGCTCTCGATTATCTTGCCACATGTCTCCCTTATTGATGAGCCTGGTATGTAATATTCAGCCCGGCGTTCCTCGTAGAGATCCCATACACCAATGCGGGTGTGCTTGAAACGGCGAGTATCCCGTGGGTCGATAGTTGGCATCTGTATCCTTTCCGATGGTGGTGGAAGAATGATAAGAAATTCGGAGTTGGGTTCTATATACATATCAGAATCAGGCTGGCGTTACATAGCCGGTGTCTGGTACCTTGTTGTCAATGTCAACGTCATAGTCCGTAACGCGCGTAAGTTAAGCGAAGTTGGGCAGATGTTGAACAGAGTCCCATGGGGTCCAAACTCTTTTCGCTCAGGGTTTGAAGTTGTTCGAAGGAACCGAGAAAGGTCCGAATGATAACAGGTTACCATGTATACCATACTTATACCCACAGTGCTTATCGTCCGTGCTCAACATCATCGCGCTCACCACAATGACAGAAGAAGTAGAGCAGCCCACCATTCCAATCACCAAACCTGTTCACACGTTTGAAGATTATGAGAATACTGACATCGTACTCGCACTTGCAGTCTTCCCTGATAGACGACATATAGTGACGGGCTCAGCGGGCAGGATGATTCGTCTGTGGGACTTGAAGGATCGCACTGTGACGAAGAAGATGGAGGGACACCGCGGCCGAGTTCGGGCACTGGCAGTAGCAGCATCAAAAGACAGACAACTGATCGCCAGCGCTGGCAACGGAGAGGTCATTGTTTGGGACAGAGACACTGGCAAATCTCTCACCCCTGCTATAAAAGCCCACTCCGAATACATGTACATCCGTTCGCTGGATTTCTCGCCAGACGGCACGATGTTGGCGACTGGTTCAATGGATCATACGACGAAGTTGTGGAACACGGAGACGTGGCACCTACAAGGTCATCCAATCGAGTGTAATTCAGCAGTCTACAGCGTTCGGTATTCACCATCAGGCGAACTACTTGCCATCGCAACAAAATCTGATATCCAAATTTGGAATCCAGGGACAAGAGATTGCATAGCAAACCTCAAGGATCACATGCACAAATTCTATTTAGGCAGCAGCTTGCCGCTCGCCTGGATGCCTGATGGCATGCGGCTTCTCTCAGGCGGGTGTAAATCAGATCCAACCATACGGGTATGGGATATACCCACTAGGCAGCAGGTGGGCGATCCATGGAAAGGCCACGACCACGACATCAACGCCATTGCCGTGAATTCCGATGGTACTCTGGTCGCCTCCGCGTCGACAGACCGTCATGTTCGCCTCTGGCGGCTCTGGGATCGAAAAAACCATCGCCATATTCAGGCACTCTGACTTGGTGCGCTGCATCGCATTCTCCGTGGATGGCAATCGCATCCTTAGCGGAGGTGACGACAATAAGATCTCAGAGTGGCTCGTACCCGAGCACGCATTGTGTGATATCAAGGTGTGTGTCTACTCTGGACTCATATAACTTGATGTGACCTTCTCCACTTAGATGCTCACTATAAATCCAATAGCACGCAATGCATGTATAGCTGAGGACTTGTCTAAAGCTGAAGAGCTGCTAACACGAGAGATCGACGCTGTTGCCAACAACCACAGCTCCTATGCCAATCGCTCATTTGTTATGGCACGAAAGGGTAACTGGGATCACGCCCTTCATGATGCTTCCAAGGTTTGATAGACTGACCTATGATGGCCCCTTACCGAAAGCTAATTTTGATCGTAACATAGTCCGTCGACATCCAACCCTCGCTCACAGGCTACATCTCTAAGGGTATCGCTCTCTGCTGGAAAAAGCAAGTGTGGAGCGCAATCAGAGCATTTGACCTCGCATCCATGTTCACGAACGGCGATTTAAAGATCAATCATTTACTTCTCTTGATCAAGGCAAGTGAAATCTATCTTACATATACCGTGCTCATTATTTTTTCAGGCTGTCGCACTTTTCAATGCAGATCATCACGAGGAGGCATTTCTAGAGATCCAAGAGCTGGCTAGAGCTTGTCCGCACGCCGATACACATGCGTGTTTGATTGTGGAAGTAAGTATCATATGATTAACCAAGCTTAGGTCCGTATATTGACAATGGATTTTTTGAACTTCGCACACCAGGCATATCTACGTGTTCAGCTTGGAATGCGTGCCTTGGATGGTGCGCGTTATAACGAAGCTGCCGATTACTTCGCCGCCGCTGTCAACGCCAGCAGTTCCTCATCTAAATTAGCCATTCATTCCAAATACGAGGACTTTGTGGTGGTACGTTGTTATGATAAGATCGAATCTTTTTTCTCATGCTCGACCAATCTATGCAGCTCTTCGGGTGGAACCTCAAGTTTTTGTGGCAAACCGCAAATCAGAATCGGTGCCATGCACTCTTGCAGGCACGTAGACTTGGAGAAGCCCTCGAAGCATACCAATACATGATGGATAATAGTGACGAAAGTACAAAAACCAGCTGGCTTGATTGGTCCAATAGCAAGTTTTTCTGTAATATCACTCAGGCTACAATTCTCACCCACATTCCACGCAGCTTTCAAGCAACAATGCAGTGCCCTCTATGCTGTCAACGGAGACATCGCGTTCAGCGCGAGAGATTACGACAAAGCTATTACCTCATACTCGGCGGCGATTGACCTGACCCCCGCAAGCGATACTCTCTTTGTAAAATGCAGCAAGGCAAAGTTGGAAAAAGAGCTATGGGAGGACGCCCTTCTCGGTGCGCAAAAAGTGCAAGAATATCTCTTGTTTATTAGTTGATGCTCATTTGTGCGATACACAGGTAATTGAACTCGACCCTTCGTCGTATGTTGGATACGAGTTGAAATATACAGCACTTTATGGAGCACAACACTATGATGCAGCCATCGAGGCCTTTGAAATCATGCTCTCCAAGTTGGGCACCGCTCCCGAACCGGAAATACGGAGTAAGTGCCAAATAGCATACCCGTGAACAAGCTCAACTTTTTATCCAGAGCTGCGCCAACTGTATTTTGATCGATCAGAAGCACAACGTGCTATTCGAAAAGTTATTGACGCTCAACTCGAAAATGCACCGCTTCGCCTACTCAATACCACAACTGGGCTCTTATGCGATCGAGATGCACAGATAAACACCTTCAGCAGGAGCCCGGAGTACAACAAGTTCTTGTTATCAACAATGAAGCATGCAGAACTTCGAACAGAACCCATCAAAGAAGGGGTGGGGAAGTACTTCCGTTGTGTCATGCTATCGCATAGGTGGGAAGGGAAAGAACCGATGCTGCACGAAATCAAGGACAGGAACGTATACAAGTTGGATCCAGTTGGAACTGTTGTGAAGTTGCAGAAGTTCTGCGAAGTCGTCCGTAATGCGGGGTATTACTGGGCATGGATGGATACATGCTGCATCGACAAGCATAGCAATGCTGAACTCCACGAATCCCTCAATTCCATGTTCGTCTGGTATCGCCATTCAGCGCTCACGATTGTCTACCTCTCGGATGTTCCGCCTTTGTCCAAGTCTGGCGCACTGGCAAAAAGTGAATGGAACAAGCGAGGATGGACAGTTCAAGAGTTCCTGGCTCCCAAAGTCATTCTCTTTTATCAGCAGGATTGGACCCTATATCTTGACGACCACTCGTCCAACCACAAAAAGTCCGCTGCGATCATGGAGGAGTTGGGGGATGCGACGGGCATAGATCCACAGGCCCTCGTCGACTTCTATCCAGACATGAGAAGCGCCCGAGATAAACTCAGATGGGCATCGACCCGTGCTACCACGCGGCAGGAAGATATCGCATACTCGTTATTTGGTATCTTCGGCGTCCGCCTGTCTGTTGATTATGGCGAGAAGAAGCAACATGCGCTCGGGCGGCTCTTGCAAGAGATCGTGGCTCAGTCGGGTGACATTGGTGTCCTTGATTGGGTTGGGACGTCATCGGAGTTTAATAGTTGTCTCCCAGCTGACATCGCCTCATACCAAGGCCCACCATGCGAGCTGTCACCTCTTTCTGAAGATGAAATTCGCACTTTGATTTCCTCACTGCGAAATACTGTAGCTGTGGGTTCCGCTTCGGAGTTTTACACCCTACTTAGCGAACAGCCCCCTCCTCGTTTTGCGCAGCGCCGGCTGCACCTACCCTGCATGGTATTCCCTGTCACAGAAGTCGGACTCAGACAGGGCCATGCTCAAGACGAACAGTCATACGTTACGTATGAAATCAAGGCAGATGGGCTGCATGATCTCTCGATCAAAACGAGGGAGAGGCTCAGTCAGTTTTCGTCAGCACGACCCATCCGTCGGAAGAAAGTCTGGCTTGTCCGCCCGTGGAATCCCCGTCTCCTCGAGCTGCCTGAATTGGCAGATGAAACGCAGAGTGTTGAAGATGCGTTCGTTCCTCAGTCTACTTCACAGGATCTGCCCGACGGGTTCCTTGGAGAAAATGAGACCGTTGGCCAGGGCTCTCAATCACGAGCGTTGCGATTGATTGTTCGCCTTGGGCAGCAATTCAATGCGTTGTTGCTAGAAGAACAACACGGTGGAAGATATAAGAGAATCGCGTCGGATGGCGATCTCATTACACAAGTCAGAGACACGTCTTCTATTCCGAACATGATTGTCAAGCAACTAGAGATATTGTAATTGTATGATACTATGGGTTATGTCATATTCGTTACGGTCCTCCACATATCCTAGTTAGTACAACCAGATGCATCAGTGAAACCTCGGATTCATTTTCTGCCATTATACCACTTTCCCCGCCTTCGCGCTGGTGCCAAGGCGTGATAACTCGATCTTTCTGAAAATTTTCAAAGGTACAAAAGAGAGAAAATACGGCTTTTGAGTCTTAAATTCAAATGGCGTATACGCGTACAAGTAGCTATATACAAAGTAAAATCAAAATGCAATGTCGAGGGTGTGATGATCAGCATATTTGGCCTTATGCGCACAGTAGGGTTTGCCGAAAACGCGTGGGTATAGGGTGTACTACCTGCAGGTGTGCACTAAGATTATTAAAAAACAAAATGTAACTATGACCTCGAACACCTCCTCAGCATTGGCATCAACATCGGGCAAGAGCAGATGAGAACGAGAACGAACGAGAGTCTGGAGTTGGCAGATGAGAGCAAGCAGTGAGAGCAGATAAGAACGACTCGTGTCTTCACAATCAAATATATTCCGAACAATCACCCAATGAGGGAAAAGAATGGCGGCATTACACATTTCCAGGTGGCTGAAATACATCCCCGAGTCTCTTGCCAGCTCTATGAGCTGTGCTGCTGGCACAAGCATCAACCGTCCAGCCGTGTCTAATCCAAATGACTCTGCATTGCATAGCTGGGCGTTTGAATACGGAAAAATTAGATGATTGGAGGGTAAACTAGGAGACCGGGTGAGACCAATCTAAAGCACGTCAATCGAGGAGCGCACCTTTCGAATTCCCTCGTCCTCTGGATGGAACGGATACACTCCGTCCGGGCTTCATGTGGATGATGACAGGAAACAGGAGGGGGATGTGGAGCTCGACAATGAGTGACTAGGACTGGTGACATGTGAGCGTAGAATCCTAGATGCGGCCAAATGAAATATTCATAGAAGTCAACCAAGGTTAGTTTTCTCTTTTTCAGAATGAGCATATTTCACGTTCTATCACGATCCGTCTCGTCCGACAAGGTTTCGCAAATTATTCTCACGTCTGACCACCGTCGGCCACGCTCCATCACTTGTAAGTTTTGGCTGGTATTTAGTAAGAATCGAGCACGCCACATCAATTGAAAGGACCGGTCAATGTTTGAAGTTTACTGCTGTTGACACATAGCCCTAGTAGGAAATCTCCTAACTCTCGCATTGCATCGACTCAGAATGTGGACAAGATCACTCTGTCAGTTTTTGTCCCTTCACTGTTTACCTGATGTCACAGCCCTCCGAGTTCGAATCTTTTCCAGACTTCTCGCAGCTGCTCAATGAACCTCCACCTTGCTTTCGTCAGAACCTGAACGTGACCCGTTTCCAACTACCTGGTGTGGCTTCATCGGCCGTGATGCCTGTGGTTTTATTTCCACGTTTCAACCCTCCTCTTCGACCTCCTCCACGTCAATTTTCCTACCGCAGATGGTTCACCTGGGTCTTTCGTACCGGCGATAATTCTATACCGTCACCTTTCGATGTTGATAGAGAACAGGTATTTGTCTTTCGTGGGAGCTGCTTATCTTGGGTTTGTCGTCTGAATGGACCTTTAGTGCTATTCCTTACATGCAGCCACCGACATGGAATCCCCTCGGTTTTCCTATGAGGAAATCTTCATGTTAATACGATCAGCACCGTCATATCCGTCTGAGATCATGGTATACAAGATTACCGCTGACACCATCGTCAAAGTGCACGTGTCCGCCGATGAAGTCGTTACAGAAGCGCTCAACTTGAGCATGATAAAGACTATGACCACTATTCCTGTTCCTGAGGTGATAGAAGTAGTTGTCAATACAAAAAATGCCGTGCACTACTTGGTCATGGAGTACCTCGACGGTCAGACGCTAGACAGTTGTTGGAATAGTCTTACACTCTTCTCCAAGCTTCGCATTGCCTGGATCCTGCGCAGTTACGTTGCTCAGCTTCGCCGTCTGCGGAGAACTGTTCCAGGGACTCTCGATGGTACCTCGTGCACGGGACCACTCTTCACCGATTATGGCGCTGGCCCATTCGTATCTTACGATCATTTGACGGCATGGTTTAACCACAAGCTTGACGTATCTCAGCGGATGAAGAAAGCGCCTCTTGATGCTCCCCGATTCGACAACTTCTCGCCGGTGGTCTTCACACACCAGGACTTGTGTCCCAGGAACATTTTGTTGGGGCGCGACGGCAAATTGTATGTGCTGGATTGGCATAAATCTGGGTTTTACCCTGCTTGGTTTGAGTACGCCGGCATGGTCCCTGACTACCACCTCAAGTCACCATTATGGGATCTTCTGGTTCCTTGGATCTCACACACTGTTTCTAGTGAGTCATTTCCGGCCAGAGCCATCGTAAGACTAAATTGGCCTTCCACCTTAGTTCGTACACGAAAGCGCATAGCTGAGTACAAGAGAAACATTGGGTGGGCACTCACGATAGGCGCTCTCATGTAGTACTTGATATGAGCACTACGAAGTGGGAAGGATCAATATCAAGTACTACCATGAACAAAAATGAGTAAAACGGCTCAGTACTGTACTTTCTTACTTCTGGCCATAGGACGTGGATAGGTTTTAGCGGTGACAAGGAGGGTGTCTATAGCAAGGATGTCGAGGTCTAAACGCTGATCATGCGCGTCTTCTTCGGTGCCCTACGGGCACTGGGGGGTGAGATGCATGTCAACGGAGGATACGAAAAAATGTATATGTAGTGACGTAGAACCAATCTTTTGATATCACTGAGTCTGGTTTACACATTTCCAGGTGGCTGAAATACATCCCCGAGTACTCTTGCCAGCTCTGTGAGCTGCGCTGCTGGGACAAGCATCAACCGTCCAGCCGTGTCCAATCCAAAAGACTCCGCATTGCGTGGCTGGGCATTCGAATACGGAAAAATCACATGATGAGAGGCAAACTAGGAGACCGGGTGAGACCAATCTAAAGCACGTCAATCGAGGGGCACACCTTTCGAATTTCCTCGTCCTCTGGGTGGAACGGATACACACCATCCGGGCTCCTGTCGTTCGTTTCGCTATTCGAGTTTTGAGATTTCTGTCTTTTTGACGCTTTCCCTGATTGTTGTTGGGCGATCGTCATCGCTTCCTCCTCTTCTGGAGTAAGCTTGTATACACGCGATATGAAAATCAGGTGGGTGAAATTGAAAGGTTCGTTCTGGGAGGGAGGACAACAAGGCCCACAGTTCATTTAGGAACTTTCTAAGAACCGGCGACTCACCTCTTCAACTGCATCCTTGAGCTCATCCACGAGCATACGGTACATGGGAGGAATCACCGGCACAGGCATGTTGATCAGCCTTTCGCATAGAACGAGTCCTACTTGACACTGCGGATCACGCAGTATCGTCGATAGTGATTGGTGGAATGCATCGTCTCCCTTCGATTTTGCCAGAATGTACTCTACGAGCGACTTTATAGACACGTTGTCCTGAAAGTAGTCCTTGTTTGAAATACGCCTGATAAAATAGACGATACGCACGTTGTGCACGCCGATATTTAAAACGCTCAAGAACGCGTATGGGCTGCTCTCCTCTCCATCAGTCTTGATCGTGGTTCCTATATCAGGCTGCGAAAGCACCAAGTCCGCAAGAGCGTGCGTGCTGAGACCCTCAGCGTCCACACCAAAGAGCTGATCGAGAAGACGCTTGATGGCATGGTAGTCGTTCGTTGCATTGAAGCTAAAAAAGTCGAAATCGACATCGATGAACGTCGGAGTCTACTGAGAGCTGGTCATTATATATTATCACGCGAAGCCTCATGGAATCATACGTCTTCTGAGTCACTGTCGGAATCTTCGTGGTTGGCTTGATTTTTGCGTTTTGACATGATGGCAATATGGACTCTGGAGTATGGAAAGTCAAGTTTATCGTGTTACGTAAGACGTCGTTTATCGTTTATCGCAAAATCGTTCAAATGTCCATCTCAAAGGCGCCCACGAAAGTAAAAGGTATCATATACAAATCCACGATGCTTCAAGTCAACAGCACTAGAAGCAGTCGTCATAAGTACACTAACTAAAAACGACAACAACAGCAAGTTAGAACAAAGCATACTCACGAGTAGTAACCAAAGTCAACGTTCAACCTGGCATTAAGATAAGTAAGTACCGCGACGTACAAACGAACCACATCAGTGAAACACGCAGCCGCTACCGCGTGATGCCCATCTTTAGGAATGCCCCCACTACCTCGACTTCATCCCATTGTCCTGGGTTTTCCGCCGTTTTCTTCGCGTGGATGTACGCCAGGGTATTGCGGAAGTGTCGAGTGATCACTTCGGGCGTCGCGACGCCCTCTATTCTTTGTGAGGGGTGGAGATATGAGGAAGATGAGGATGGCGATGTGATCGTGTCAATGGAGGAGGCGATGAGTTCAACAAGTGATACTATAAATTTAGGTGCGATCTGATTCAAAACGTGAATAAAATGATGTTGCTGCTGAAACGGCGAGTACTCACTGCAGGCGCGCCCCGGTCGAAATAATACAAATATTGATCAAGCGTGTCGCAGTAAAGCTGGACGGTAACTATCTCCTCCGTAGCAGAATTTGCTATGCGTAGTGATTTCTGGAGGCATTCCAGTACACGTTTACTGTCCTGATGCGGGTACTAGACGTCACCTATCAGTCATCGCATCTAAGTAAGGATTGAAAGTTACGAACCGCTTTTAACACCTTCACCATCCTCTCTAGGGGGGGAAAGCAGCCTTCTCAGACTCCTTTACAGCAGGTCCATCAACCTCACCCTCCTCTAACACAGGCTCTTGCCACCACAGATGACTAGCGGCATGTACCGCCGTCGCCTGATGCTGTTTTTTCAACAACCTCGCACCATGCAACGCAGCCTTCGTTATTAGTGTATCATACCCATCGATATTAAATACCCTCGCGCCTTGAAGAGTGCCGATGATAAGGGTGATAGCAGCAAGCTGTGCTCTGCTTTCTGAGATACTGTCTTCGTATACCGAGAAAGCTTGCACGTAGAAATCGTAGGCGAGGTCTTCGAACCCAGAGCCGCATTCTGATGCGATCTGTGCTGCGAGAAGGAATAACCTCAGTGCGAGTGCTGGGGCGTCGACCTGGGTGGCAAGGATGGAGGTGCACTGTCGAGCGAATTTGAGTATCGTGTTGACCTTGTCTTGCCAGCCTTCCTCCTACGAATGGTAAGCAGTAGAACAGAAAAACGACAAGACGACATACAAGATGTTCACAGTTTTTATACCGTCTACATAACTTAATGCTGGAAGTGATAAGTGCAGGGAACGTATAGCGCATCCGCTCGCCACCAGCTTCGAGATGTTTTCGAGCCATTTGTAACAGCTGCGCAGCACGTCAGTCCAGGAAATACCCCCGCAGAGAAGATTCGCACATCAAATTGGATATCCAGCGAATCCGCGCGGAACAGATGCACCATTCGTGCAACCCAACCTTGTTCTTCTGCTAGATCCTCCCTTTCGGTATGATACGGTCCCTGTCTCCTGATTTCCTTGGCTCCAGCGCTACCCTGCGGTGCAGCAGAATCAGTCTGATCCTTGATCAAAACATGACAAAGCTCCAAGACCCCATCCACATCCTCCGGCGCCTCAATAATCGTTTCGTTCTTGAGTACGCTCGAAATCACGGAATTGGCGATTGACCGTCTTGTCGAGAATAGTTGCTGGGAGAGCAGGGGAACGTAGTGGGGAATTGCGAGGACTGTGAGGACAGACTGATAGGAATTTATAGGTGCTACCTAGGAGAGCAGCGAGGTTTGCAGCTGTCTGCGGTGCATGGAGGTCAGGGCTAGAGAGCTTGATTAGTGCGAGCTGGCATGAAGACACGTAACATGCCTTTCTGAGAACTCCTTGATTTTTTCATGCGCAAAGCCAAGGATTTGGTCCACGTATTCTAGCCTATCGGGATAACAGCTTAGCGATAGGTTGGTGAGGGATACAAGCAGTGCGGTGATATCCTGTATCGACAAGTCCGGTCGCGCCTTCGAAAGACGAATGAGGATCACACACGGTAGCATAGATTGAAACTCACTTTGATAAGCTCCACTACTTGTTTCCAAAACACCTCAAACAACTGGACGTTCTGTGGAACACCTCTGAATTTCCGAACAGGCGATCCGTCATGCTCCTCAGCCGAAACGCCATTCGTAGCCGTAGTAGTAGCCGTTCCCGCACCAACCTCCATCTCAGCCATGCTTTTCTCCGTATCAGCAACAGCACTATCCCAAGCATCCTCCGCCGAGGTCGGTACAGCAGCAGCACCATTCTCCCTTACCCGAGCCTTCTGAACTTTCACCTTATCCGCAAGTCTCCGAGCAGCAGCTTCTTCCTGGCGTTTTGTCTCCTCAGGGTCTTCGTTCTCAGCCTCGCGAGCAGCATATGCAGCTAGCCGGTCGATAAGCGCAATCACAATCAGCTTGATGTTCACCTTTGGATGAAGTTGGGCTGTAGCTGATAGGAACGGGCCGAGGGTATGTAAATGGAATTCGTCCGTGAATACCTATTTGATGGTCAGTCAGCAAGGTCTTCCATGATGATGCCCCCCAATCAATCCATCAATCCATCACCCGTACCTGAATAACAACCTCCATCAAATACTCCTGCGCGATCACATCTTTACAATTAACGACTTGTTCCAATATAGCAGGGAGGATGCTGTGTCTGTACATCTCTAGGTCAACGCCATCGAGTTGGGAGAGCCGGACGAGGTTAGTGCCGACGAGGATGCGGAGGTCGCGCCGCTCCATCTCGCGTTTTTCACGGTCGCGAGAGTGGCCTTGGTGTTGGAGGCGTACCCAGAGTTTGTTCATTTCGATAAAGTTGGTTAGGACGAAGGAGATGGAGTCTTGGAGGTTTCCTATGGGTCTGTGGGGATGTTAGTATCGTTTTTTTGGTGTTGGGATGGGATGGGGACGGACCCTGGATCGACGCCGATTGGGAGATGGTCTCGAGTCTGCCCGCTTAGGTAGTGCCTTAAGAAGAGCCCTCGTATGGGGTGTAACACCCCACGAGACATTTCCATCATATCCTTCATGATCTCCTTTACCGGGGCATCCGGGATAGACATGTACACAGCGCCGACAGTGATCATGAGATACAACCTCGGTACGATGTTCCCGGCATATTGAACGAGTTCGTAGAGGTCTGCGAGGTGGTGTCGGGATTGGGTGTGTGCATCGTAGAGATAGTTGGAGAGGTGTCTTAGGGCGTCGAATACTGCCATGTCTGCGTTCAAAAATTCAGGATTAGAAGAAGGGGAAGAGGGAAGGGAATAAGTGTGCGCACAGAGTTCGTAGTATTGCTTTGGGGATAAGGATGACGTCCGGAGTTCTGCTAGCATCAAGCTAGCGCTTTTCAGCGCGTCCATTATATCATCGTTATCCTGTTCGTTGTACCAATGTTATGTTAGTGAATTATGACGTGTAGGCGTTGAAGGGAAATTATGCTTATGCTGCGCAGGAAACTCACCAAATGTCGCTTCATCTGACCGACTTGGATTTTGACGGTGCTGAGGGACTCGCTGAGGAGCTTTCCTTCCTCTACTACTACTGTCGTCATCGTCGTCGTCGTCGCCATTGCTCCGTTCGACGGGTTGGAGAATATGTTTAACTGACTGCCGTCTGTACCCGCCGAGTGGGTTTCCACTTCAGAGGTTCAGGATGACATAAGCCATGTCTATCATGACGAGGCCTTGATCAACGCTTCGCGAACTATGTCACAATTTTAATATTATTAAATTGAAGTAAGTATTCCTCCTCGTGGCTTATTCACACAGAACGTGGTGTATCGATCTTACACAAAACAGCCTCGATCAACGCATCCAGATCCGTGTCACCTGCACCACTTTCCTCCTTCCCAATTCTTTCCACAACCGCAGCCGCACCCATCCACGCCGGTACCCCACCCTTACGCTTCTTCCAATACGCCGTAAAAAGCTTTATTTCAGATCTCCACTTCCTCCCCTTCCTATGCGCGCTCAAACTAACCAACATCGCAGCGTACGAAAGGCGATACAATACCTTGAGCTCCTCGTCGCTCGCACCAAGCCGTGTGAGCTGGTTATTTAATACGAGATCCTGATGTTCCATGCGCAAGCTAAGCCAGTCTTCGATGAGACTATGGCTCGAATCAGCTAGTAGGAGCGCAAGTTCGGTTGCTACGTTTACGAATACAGGCCCTAGGCCTCCATAGGCTGCGTTCATCTCTTCGCGGTAGTACGTGCGTAGGACTTTACTCGGACGTGGCCATTGGACGCATTTTTCTTCGAGTGTGCCGGGGTTGAGACCGAGGATGAAGGGGTGTGGCTCGAAGCCTTTGTTGCGCGCTAGGATACCGTGTGCGAGGCAGACGGGTTGGCCGTCGTGCCCTGAAGATGTGAGGGGGGAAGATCGGAGGAGGCGTTGGGGGACTGCGAGGATGCCGCGGCTGACGCGGGGGGTGAACCCGATGTGGAAACCCCAGAGGAGGGAAGCAGATTTTTCAGGGTGGATGGGGGCGTATAGACCTGTTTTGTCGTCTGGGACGAGAGTTTTTTTGGTATCTTTGATTTTTCATCTGGCTGCTTTTCTGTTACGAGACGCTTTTTGGCTTTGAGGATGTCTGTGACGTCATCGATGATGATATTGGATTTGAAGATGGGAAGATGGATGTCCACGGGGTGTCGTCTCATGACTGGAATATTTTTGCTCAGGATGGGCTAGGGATCATTGCCTTCTATGAGGGGCACTAGAGATGCGTGTATTCCTGTGCGGCTCGGGCCAGTCCATGCTGCCCAACGATTAGAGCAACTAGTGTCGATTACGCCATGCATAGCGGGATACGGCCAGAGATGATGCGCTTGCTAGTAATATGATTAATCCAAGTGAATCGTCGTTATTGCCTAAACGAATATTTAATGTACGGCATGAGAGTGGTAACAGGCGCTTACCGACAAGGAATGATAGAACCATGCAGCCAAAGGAAGCGACGAGAGCGAGGGCTATGGCTGCCCACCAGAGATGTTCCCTTCTGGCCAAACTGAACCTGATTGTCCATGAACCTTCTCTCTCGGATATTTTGACGAGAGTTGTGATAGCGCCTTGAAGTAGAGATACGGCTAGAGCAATAGCAGTTGCAGCTCAGAAGATCTGGTCGCGTTTGCTCATGAGAAATGGACTAGCGGTGGTTAGCACGAATTGAACATGTGGATGTTGTACAGCAGCTGCGTACGTAATTGCAACATTGATGATGATAAGAGGGGTGTCTGGTGATCATGCACATGATTCGGGCCGGGATGACTTGCAAGCCGCGATTGTTTAATGAGGCACTAAAGGTGTAACGAGGCTAGTGAGCGCTGCAAGGTGTGCCGTACGTGCACTGGTCATCGATAAGGATGGGTGCCGAGTACGAATGGGGGGGATGGGCGCCGATCTAGCGGTGTCAGGAAAGGATAGTACTTATACGGTTGTCACCCTGAATGACATGCACTGTGTACGGAGCCGGTCAACGTGCGACGAGGAGCATAAATGTATACGCAGTCGGCGACGGCAACGTGATGACCTGTGGCATATAAAACTCACGCGAGAGACCAAAAAGGAGAGGCGGTAAGATAAGAATTGACACGTGGGCTTGAATTGACCGAGCGGGTAAACGAATGGTTACAAGCTATGTTACCTGCTTTTGAATTCTTCGACTGTATCGCCAGTACGTATTGTTTTGTTCTATTTGGTTTCTGTCCTGTTGTTGGTCGTCGCGGTATTCGTTGTCCGTCGTTTCGAACTCATCCTTTTTTTTTGAAAGGAGGGGGGTCCTCGTGTTACTGACTTTTCTTTGCTTCTTTAATCTTGTGAGTTTTGGGTTTTTATCGCGCTTTTTTTCATCTGAACCTGTATTCAAGAATTTCTGCTGTTGCAGTTTGCCCATGGCCGTTCTCGCACCACAAGATTGGCACCCACCTCGCGATACAATGGATCCACGTCCTCAATCAAACGAACAACAGTCTAACATACCAATCCAACCTTATCCATACCCAGTTCAACAGCCTCATGGCGCTTGGACTCCAAGTCCAAATGCTCAACCCTTTTACCCTTCTTACTACCAACAACAGCAACAGCAACAGCAACAGCAACAACAACAACAGCAACAACAACAGCAACAACCTCATCTTCAGCAACAAAACCCTTATTTCGATCCTCAAGCAAATGCTCAACTAGCTCAGTGGGCATATCAGCAGATGATGTATTCTCAACAACAACAAATCCATCCTCATCAACGTCCCCAACCAGCTGACTACTTTAACCCCACCCAGTTATTCTCCCCTTTTCCAAGTGGAACACCCCCTCCTCATGCTCATCATCAGAATTTTCCCCCTCCTCCTCAACCCCAACGCTCCATATCATCAGATGCAGCTCAATATAATGGCTTTCATCCATATCGCCGTCCAAATAATAATACCCGTCCACAAGAAATTCAGGAATGGCGTGCTCAACCTCCATATCCACGCGGTGAAGCCTCCGCTTCTACAACTTCTGTCAATTCTTCTTCCTCTCACGGCGGAGCATCACGCCAACGTACAACAAGTCAGGGTCAAGTTCCATCTCGTCCAAGGATCCCAGCAACAACAACAACAGAAAATCCACGCCCTCGTACAGGTAGCGGTTCATCCACTAAATCTCCCCATCCACACCACCGCACAACTTCTTCCTCTTCTACAAATTCTTCAGCTCCACGTCCTTCCGTAGCTACTGCATCCTCTAGGAGTTCCACCTCCACAGCCACGACTCCGGCAACCGCTTCATCTTCTTCCCATGCTCGTCCCGCCCGGCCGTCCCCACTCAGTCAAGGCACATACACGGCTGCGGAAAAGCGCATGTCACGTGATGACTCCGATCTAGCCGCTATCCTTGAAGGCACTTCCATCGGTGGAAAAACAGGCGGCATCAAAGGCAGACTCCGTCGTGCACTCAGTCTCAATGCTGCGCAAGCATTGCAAGAAGAGGAAGAACCTTCCTCTGCTGGTGGAAGCACATCCAAAGATCCTCCCCCAGCCCTCCCTGATGCTGATGCCGCCAGCACCGCCACAGTTCAGACCAAGAAAAAAGGTCGGGCGGCGTCCTTGTTCAACTCTCGCCTCAACGCGAGCACCGACAACATCTCTCTTTCATCCACAATGTCCTCTGCTTCCGTCGTGATCCGCAAGATCGGCTCCATCGGAAAACTCGCAAGGCGGAACAGCCTCGCAGGAATAACTTCCCTCTTCAAAGACAAGAACAAGTCTTCTGAAGGTTCTGAGGACAACGGCAAGAAGAAAAAGAAAAAAGAAAAGGACCCAAAAGGCGATGTCGTAGCTCCTGCTCTTTCGCACGCTGTTGCCGAACTTGATCGTGGAGAATGGAGCGGTCCGGAGATGAATGGGTTGAGTCCTGCTGCTAAACTCGCCCGGCAGGTTACCCTCAAGAGTAATGCCGAGGCTGCTGCAAAGGCTCGTGTAGAACCAGTACAGCCTCAGGCAAATGGGACCCATGTCCCTCCTGCGTGGGAGAAGAATACTACTACGAGGGCTGGTGAGTCGAGTGCCAGGGTGAATGAGGATGGAACGAGGGTGTTGGTCGAAGAGGAAGATGAGAGTGATGATGGACACGCGTATGTACCACAGCCTGGACAGAATTTCATATCGGACGGCTGGGACGACGATGAAGTCTGGGATGAGGATGGGGAAGAGGACGTTACCATTCGTGTAGCGGGCGAAGACGAGGAGGTCGTCGCTTGGGCCACCAATATCAGGCGCAGCGTTGAGCGTCACAGGACGCCTGCAAAGGGCATTCTTAAAGGTGCGTGTCAAATAGTTCGGGCACTGTTTACGCTCATCTTTTTCTAGGCGCTGATAATTACTCGCAAGAGGTGTATAATGGCGAGAGCGTGGCGAATCCGGCTATCCGCGTACGCTCGAATTCATATAATTCGCATCCGGCGCAGTCATCCGAGCTGAGTCCACTCGCTCGGATACCCTCTCCCGATCCAGACCATATCGATGGGCTGCATCGACACCCCTCGCATTCAAGCAACGCACCAGGTACGCCTCTCCGCACTAGATCGAACCCATCTAACGATCAAGCAGAGAAAGAAAAGAGCATGTTCACCCTCTCCAACTCATCCGCCCCAGCCCTATCCACGATCCCTACTACCCCACTGACGCTGGCGCATCGCTCAGCGACAAACGCCTGCCAAAAGGCTCGTGTTCGCAAATAATCTGTCAGTTTATGATACCTTTTCGTCGACTGTTTATGATCGTCGCAGCGAGCCTGCGACGTGGAGTCGATTGACGCCTGCATTGGCGCAGCGCATTAAAGAAGAGCTTAATTCGTACAAGATGGAGGAGATGGAAGTGCATGCTTGTAGCCGGATGCAGTGCGTTCTTTGTCTTTTTGACTGGTTGCGTGCTGATGAATGATTGCAGTACCCAATTTTTCATCTGAGCGATTTGTTGCGGTAGAGGTGCTTGCTCGGTTCGATTTTTGGCTCGCTTTTATCTTCTCTCGCTTCTCTCTTCTTTCTCCAATGCCTTTTGCCTACGTTTCGTTTCCTTACACAACCACTTCTATCCCCCCCTGATCTAAAAACTCAGCATGAAGAGCATTCGCATTTTTTACAAGCGGCTGCGCTGCACAAGTACAGTACCTCATTAAAGCTGTCGGATCACACCGTCCACGTGTTACTTGCACTCCAGTCTCCGTTCCACTTCACTTCACTTGTCTCTCTCATATACCCTCACGTGTAATACTATGCGCGCGCGCGGGCGTTGCCCACATCACAACCCACCACCCACAACCAAACTCACTCTTTTGCAAATAGCTCCTAGCTCTGCTACGTACGTACATTTGATATTTCTTTTTTTGGACGCTTTTTGAGTTGCGAGATTAGTGGCTTCCTTTTTTTATATACATGTCGCCATGCCATTGCCCAACAAATATGCTGACTTACATGTTTAGTATTTACATACATACCGCATTGCAGGCTCGTTCAAATTTCAATGAATATGTTTATCATGAGGAAAATAGGCATATCTAGCTCTGTATAGTAAAATGTGCTTAATCTACATGGAGTGCTTGACAGGAAAGAAACGTGCTAGATAATAACGCCACCAGACATGAAGCGGTGACCTTACTCCCAAGATGGTGACGTGCTGTACGAGTGACTACGGCCGTTCTGTGCCGGACTCGAGGGCGACCACTGGGGTGACGTCGGGCTATAGGCGGGAGAAGCAGGGGCTAAAAAGAGGTTAGGCTACGATCGTTAGATTACGGAGAATAATCTTACAATATGCGGGTGCTGTGAGGTGGGATTTGGGGTTAGTGGGTGTGGAAATACGACAGGATGAGTACTCACAAGCTGGAGAGTATGTGGGGGATGTGGGAGCTAGAAAGTGTGAGCTGGTTGACTTTTGTATAAATTGGGCGACCTACAGTATTTTGGAGACGAGGGGGATACTGGTGATGTGGGAGAATACTTCGGTGAGGATGGCGACATTTGAGCAGGCGCTGGAGTAGAACTCAATATGTAATTGTCAATGAAAAAGATGAATACGTACAAGCTGTGGGAGTGAATAGAGTGGTACAATTGATCATCAGTACACATCATACGTGAATAATATCCGTACTTACTTGGTGAGTCTGAGAAGGTAAGACATCAGTCAAAAGTTGAGATTCGAGAAAAATTAACTTACAACGTGGAGAAGCAGGGCTGAAGGAAGGACTAGTGGGAGAGTACCTCGGTGACGTGGGCGAAAATGATGGAGACTGTGGACTGTAGCGCGGCGATGTGGGAGAGAATGACGGAGAAGTGGGAGAATAGCGTGGGCTCGTCGGTGAATATCCTGGAGACGTGAGATTGAGTGCGGGAGATGTCGGCGAATACGTCGGCGATGTTGGTCCTCTGCCACGGTCGTAGAATGGAGAAGTAGCATATGGAGATGTGCCAAAGGGTGATGTAGCGCCGCCAAACGGTGATTGTGGAACATATGGCGATGTTGGCGAGTATGTATTGGGAGAACTGGGGCTGTACCCAGGTCCTGCAGGCGACATGCCTCCGGCGCCAAGAGGACTCTGCCCATACCCAAGGAAAGAGAAGTTTGCGGGATCCTCACCGCCATTGACAGCGAGAGGAGAGAAGGCGGCTGATTCTCCTTTGAAATTGCCTTCTGACCATGCAGGGGAGTTGGTATCATATGGCGTCATTGCCACTTGTCCTGGTGTCATGCCACCATCTGCTTGTGCCGCTAGCATATTTTGGACTGGCAGACGATGATCAACGATGGCGTCCTTCAGCATATCAATATCGAGAGCCACGTCAAAGGCGCCAGTGCCCATTGGTGCTAGCTGGCCGAACATGACATTCTCGGCGATGCCATGACAATCGTCCTTCTCGCCGACCGCAGCTGCTTCCATGAGAATCTCCACCGTCTCCTCGAATGAACATCGCATGAGTGCCCCAGTGTCAGCACGATTGATACCGTGACGAGTGATTGCCATCAAAGAACCTCGGTGCGTCATGAGATCGCAAAGGAGAGCGAGATGGCGGTAGTTGACGTAGGAACCGTCAAATTCGATGACCCCACGCAGCTCCTTCATAATAGCAGCGCGGGCTGCTTCAATGCCCAG